GAGTGCAACTGTTAACATGCAGAATGTCTCTTTGCTCACATCTTAGTTTCCTTCTTGACTTTGAGGAACTCTGCCATGTTGGAGAAATATTTTTGGTTGGCTTCAGCCACCTTTTTCTCTGCAGCCTGAGGGTTCACGATCTCCAGACCCTGCAGGAGAGCCAACAGTGTTTGACTAACGTAAAGCTTCACATTGCACAGGAGAGGATAAAAAGACAAATTTTTTTTTTTACCTGTAGAGGAGTGAATGCTACGCTCGAGCTGGTTCCTGAGGAACGGTCTCTGACGGTGGACTTTCCTCCATATGTCATGCTCTGCTTCTGCAAAGTCCTCTGTTGTCAGAGAAAGAATTTGAGACTTAATAATTGAAACTAGAAATCAATGTTGGAGTGATTTTAAGTGGAATGAGTTGAAGGAGTATACCTGGAGGGATTTTGAGATTCTGGCCTTGGTGGCCTCGTTGACCTGAGCCTGCCTCACGCGCCCGCTTCCGCTCTTCCCGAGCTGACCCAGACTGAAGCCCAGATCCTCCTGATAGGCATCGTCTTCAATCTGCAACACAAAATCACAACTTGAAATCAGGAATTTCCAAAGTTGGGAATGTTCAATCACAGGCTTGTACATTACACATCCTTGTTATGGTCACTGACTTCTGTTTCCACTTCCAAGAAGTTTGTTTTCCAGATGCTCAACCAAAAGTAAACCATCTCACTCAAGTGGCTAAGCTGTAAACATTAGAACATTTAGTGCTTTAGCGCCTGGCTGAAATTTAAGAGCCCCCTGTGGGCCATAGCTTTGGATGCACGGTGCACACAAGGTTTTTGCGGTAGTATCGATGAAATCAGAAGGCAGACATGCTACTGTCAGCCATCATCCTCTCAGGAGATAGAAGATAGTAACAGAGTGAGCAACACAAAATGTTCATTATATTTAGATGTTCTGGGATGAAAGAATACATAACGTGAGCACCAGCATTGGTTTCTGTATGTTTGATCTATGTGTCGCTTGAACGGCTTTTAACAATGTGTAAAGCACATTCCTTTAGTATGAGCAAACAGTTCACTGAATTTAGAGCTGCAGGAGGCATACATAAACAAGAGATGTGAAAAGGAGGCATTGTGGAATATATCTGACCTCTGCGAAGGTCATCCTGTTGGCATGTTTCCTGATCTCAGTCAGCCCGAGACGCTCCTTCATCTTTCGATACCTTGAGGAGCAAAAGAAAAGAGCAGCAGAGCGGTTACTCTGAATATAGATTTAGACATGATGGTGGTATTCTTGGCAACACGTTATGTAAGCCTTCTTGTTGTACATCAAAGTGCTGCTCAGACTTCTTTGGTTTGCCGTAAGGCCACTTGGAAAAAAAGCTGTTTTAAGATAACTGCAATTTAAGAATCTATAGGTTGCCCTTTACCTTTGTATTTAATAATAATAATGATTATAATAATAATGATATGCTCGTTTAGAGTAGCCGACAGGTTCCATACCTCCTTCCTCCTCTCTTCTTCCTCTGTCCGTCCAGCGGCGCCGGCAGCGGTTTCACCTGCTTCACTGGTGGAGGCTCCTGCCATTTATCAAACTTCCTCTCTATTTCTTCCTTTAGATCGTATCCAACCTGGAGAAGGATTACAACATCAGTGGAGTTGGAAATGAATCCAATGTTTATTCAATATTGCTTTAAGATAATTCAATGTTAAATTCTTTCATGTTTTTAACTTCACTGATATCAGAATTGTGATATCAGCAAAAGGAAATGGTGGATGCTGTATTTTTAAATTGATGTTCAACTTCGTGCTTTTTTTCTTTTTAATGAATGCGCTCATGAAAATATCACAAAATGTATTTAGAACAGCTGCTCATTCATGTGCTCTCTTTGGATCTTCACCTTTCCCACTGAGCTCTCGTGGAAACTGTCGACTCGAGCCGCCAGCGTGCACTTTGCAGCAACCAGACGAGCTGCCTTCCTCCTCAGGTCCTGAAGACAAACATCAAAGATATCATTTTACCACAAGGTCCTCAAGCTGAGTATAATCCCCAGACAGGATCTATGTGTGAATGAATGTATTTACTGACGGGCGGTAGTGACTGCACAACATCACAGTGGTAGATGAAGCCGGTGTGGGGCAACAGGGAGGTGCTGCTGAAGCCGGAGAGAGTTCTTCGCTGAGCTCCCAGCAGCATCAGGTTACAGGCGGGCATCTTGGAAAGGTTAGTGAGACCACCACCAATACCTGCAGCCGGAGAGAGATAAAGAGTAAAAGCAAACATTAGTGGAGAAAGTTAGCAGAGGTCATATCCCAATATTCTTCCAAGAATTTAAAACGTGAAAGATCCTTCAGAATCTCTCACCCATGATCTTGGCAGCCGTTGACGCTCCGACAATGATGGACAGATTTGGGGCAATGAAGGACATTCTGGACTCGACATATTCATAAATCCTGTGTTTGGACTGATTCAGCTCCAGAGCCATGTCACAAGCCTCCTCCAGCTGCTTCAATTCATCCTCACTTAGCTGTGACCTAAAACCATTCAAAAAAAAAAAACACAAAGTAATTGATTTAATCTGCATGACTACAGTCCCGCTCAACAGCAGCCGACGGGGATGAGAGATATAAATCAATAAAACCACAGACGCCTGTCTACTCACCCCTGTGTGGTCGAGGCTGTGACACTGACAACCATAATTGTTGCGTTAGTGAGAATTTGCTGCAGAGTTTCATTCGTCTTGCACTTCTCCAGATTGTTTCCCAATTCCTAAACGGATATAAAAATCCTACTTAGTCCCATCTAAAAATACAACAAAATCAAAACCACTCCAAAGAAAGCAACTCTCCACCCTCTGTCTCTGCATTAAAAGCTAAATAAACATTTCAACTCAACCCACCTTGACTGTGCGAATGTAATCTAGAGAATCTGGCACCAGAGACTCGAGCTCTGGGAACCTTTTGGAGTACTTATCCCGTGTGAACTTGTGAATTATATCTGAAACCCAGAAAGAAAACCACATGTTACACAGAGCAGGAGGAAAATTAAACGTTTTTCTTCTTCTTACCAAGCAGGAGCACAAAACTTACTGAGCTCATTGTCGATCTCTACTGTGAGGTTGTTGGCTGCCACGATCAGTCTGTATTCTGGATCAGACTCTACTGGCCCTGAGACTGAAATGAAACAAAAAACACACATCACACATCAGCTGCGTTCAGGGTCTGGTTAACACTCATCTTAGAGTGAATGCAGTGAAGAACTTCTGAAACACAAACCTACGATTAAAAATGTCACACTTACCCTCGGAGTTCATGCGCTGCTTTCCAACATACACGGAAACTTTGTCCATTATTTCTGAAAACTGAACACAAAATGTTAAAATGATGTAGAAATAACCAGAACAGACAGATCACTAGACACACTGCATCAGCTGGTCTAATGACCCCTGCACTGATACAACTCACCTGTTTACTATTGCGGAGTTTGGCAATGGACCCGACACTCTCAGCCTTACTGTAGTCCAACTCCATCTCCTCTGGGATATCTTCCAGTCCTCCTTCGGTCATTCCCTGCGTCGCTTCTCCATCACTCTCCCCCTCCTCTTCCTCAGGATATAACCCGTCCTCGCCCTCATCTCCGGCCTCCTCCAGGTCCGCCAGTAGCTCGTCCGCCAGGGACATCTTCAATCAGCAACAGAGGTTTAAGAACAATCCTTTTCACTGGCTAGATAAACTCATATGACATAGATTTTTTAATCAAGAAGGGATTTTGAACCTCGGGAAAATTCCAGAAGGTCTTGGTAAAAAGGACATATACCTTTTAAAGATTCTTATGCTGGCAAGTAAAAAAAAGCGATTACTAAGTGTTGGCTTCAGAGGAACCCTCCTACCATGAGACTCTGGAGGAACATTGTGAATTCCATCAGCTTTATGGAAAAAATGACTTTTGTGCTGCGACTTCAAAAAGGAGAAGGGCGAAGAATATTGGAGGAAGTGGGATTTATATAAAAGATAAAGACTCGTAAATATATCTTGTTTCACTAGAATGTACCATCCATTATGTATTGTACCTGTGCCTTTTACATTCTTGTATTTTATCTTATTCACACTGTCTTGCCCAAGTCTTCACTTGTTCTGTGTTTCTTATAAAACAAAAATGAAAAATAAAGTAGCTCTTTTTTGAGCTTTGCTGATTGTAGGGTACTGATCTGAGAAATTAACAACATGTTAATCTTTCTGACATATAATCCACGACAAGACTGCATGGAGTCTAAATATTATTAACATAACAGAGTATTAAAACCCAAAACTCTGTAAATCCTGATCTGATTTTATCTGACAAATTTTATTTCCCTCTGCTTATTTTGCTGATTCTTTCTAAGAGGCAATAATCAAGAAGCTCAAGCTGGTTTGGTTTTGGTCCATGTTGTAGTCTTTGTCACACCGGTTTCTTGTTCATCTATTAATCAGAAACCACATGACCCGTGATCTGGTTTAGACTCTTTAGAGACTTCAATAAATGCATTACGGGATAACCCATGAGGAACATTAAAAGCTGAACAACAGGATATTCTATAAAGTGACGTTTAGACGAGTTAAACAAAGAGGTCGTATCGTTAATTTGGCGTGTTTGCTTCTTACTGAGCTGGCTAGCATTCAGTTAGCATACGTGTGTTTTCACAACCGGGCCTGTAAAATAAACGATTTAGTAGTAAAACAAACAAAACAAAACAACGACTCACCTTTGAATGAGAACTCCGATCGTCTAGGTAAATACAATCGACTAAATGTTAAGGAGGCTTTAACTTCTGCAACGAGGTAAACGATCCGTGTTACGTTGTTCAGTCGCCTGCACTCTACTGCCGTAATGTTTGTCGCCGACTTTCTACGTGTACACCTTCCCGTTGCCCTCTGGGTAATGGAGTCAATACAACTAACAAATAGGTGTTTGGTGCTGGAGATGTGGTTTTGGAAAGCTTGATGATTTAAAACCAAAACAGTAATTTTGAAGAGGTTCATATTTTTAAGTTTTTATTTCCCCTCGTTTATACATTGTTCCCTTGAAAACCATGTTTAAACAATACAGGTTTTAAACCAACATTTAAACAGACTAAACAAATTGACTAGTTGGACCTGAACTGCATAATGGACTGTTATTAGTAGAAAATGGAGTAAATTAACAGATACACAAACAGATGGACTTATTTACTGATGAAAGGCATTGATTTTTCATGCTAAGCTACATTAACTGTCATTAAACAAGGGAAAAAAATGACAAGACAGCTAAATTCTTAGACATTGCAAAAAATGACACATTACAGGACGTAGTTTCATACAGATGGGCATATATTAACAAGTAAAATTATACAAAATACCTTCTCTTTTTTTTAGCAATTAATACGCTTGGGAAAATATTTGATTTATCTGTTATGAAGATCTTAGAGAAGGTATAACCTAGACGCTTTCTGTCCCAAACAAGGACAAATTATAGCTAAGTTTATAGACCGTATGTTACCCAGAGAAAAGCAAATAAATAAAATAAAATTATAAACAAGTCAATAGATCATCAAATAAAAAATACTGCATGGAAACTGGCTTTACATAAATAAATAAAACATTATGGAATTATAAATTAATAGGTATAACTTAAGAGAATTCTTTAGAATTATAAACATATCGAAGCATAGCTTGTTTCATAGTTCGTGCAGTCTAAGAATACATCTAAAAGTAAACAGCTCTAAAATGATATTGTATACATCTGTGTTATGATATTTGTACAAATGCAAATGAGTATTCTCAAATACAAGAGTCAAGTGATTTTTGTTCCAAACTGTTGCCTACAACAACAACTGACTGATTGCAATGAAAAACTTTTATAAAGAGAGGACTGGAATCCAAGAGTTTACATAGACTGACGAATGACTAACCAAAGTGCATTCTCCGCTCATCTGGGGAACAAAACAACAAAATGAAGCAGAAAAAGAGAAGGTAAGCTGGTACACAGCAAGACTCCCACTGCATAGCTGTCAAATCTGTTTCAGATTTTACAAAGCTCCAGGCTCCTCTTCTCCTGACATATGCTGCCTTTTCCAAAAGACTTTTGTAGCCGAAGGCTTTGAATAAACTCTGTAAATAGTGGCAGGCAGGAGCACAACAACCCCTGTCATACAAAGTCCTGACGCTGGTAAAATCTGGAATGTGTCCAGCTTTTATATCGGGAGTCTCATTCTTCAGTTGCCTCTTCAATAAAAAAATAGCCTCTGGGTGAATGGCTGGTTGTTTGGGTTAATTTACTGGCCAGTCCAAGAGGGTTTGACTCTAAAGATTCCCACGAAAAGTTATGACATCACACCAAGTGGGGGTCGTTGGCAGGGCTGACCGTGAACCGCGATGATGTCACTGGATTAGCCCCCACAGGCGACCTTGGTTTGATTGATAACTCCTCTTTTCTCTTTGAATCTCTGCTCTTGGAGTTTGGTCCTGATGGGAAGAAAAACACAATTAAGCACACAGCTTTGTATGTGAAAGCCTAGTTAATTTCCAATGATTTAGAGTTACAGTTCATAGTATCCCTTTAGTTCACTTAGACATAAAGTCTCCTTGTTTCCCCTTCTGTGTTGATTGTCTGGCCAGATAGGTAGAAATGTGCTTTGTCACGTCTTATGCGAGGATATCCTTTTTGTTGTTGTTGAGTTTTAACGTATTCATTCTAAACAAACATCTTGCACAGAATATAGTGATGTCTTTGTAAAATGTGGTAAAATTAGTAAAGCAATGTCAATCAAAACTAAATCTTCAGAGTAAACTCAAGAACAGGTGACATTTCAAATCCACTTTGTGGTTCTCCAGGAACATGAATGTCTCTCTGCAACAGGAGGAATGGGGAGTCGTTGAAATGTCTGCCTGTTGTCTAATCGTCTCTTCATGACTGATACATGGGGCTTCAACAATGCTAACATATTCAGTGTGATTTTAGTAACAAGCCAAATACAAGGCCGCAGACACAATATAAAACTGTTATCTATTAATATAATGGCACTGATGCAATAAGACAGGTTTTAGTTATAAATAACTCAAAGGGAACACAGCGTCTTCTTTCAGAACTTTGAAGTTTCAACTCTGAAGGCAATAAAAGATCACCAAAGCATCTAATTTTGGAGTTTCTGCATGTCTGTGTTTGTGTACAGCCCGAAGGAAATTCTGAGCCCAAACTTTCATTATTCTGTGAAATGAGGTGATCAGAGTTGGAGATGGAGAGAGGAAGTCAAGAGAGCAAATGAAAATGTGTTGGGGAAACACAGCTTAGGCCTTCATTGTTGAGCTAAGGATTTAATGTCCCAGCTTGGTTCCAGATGTCAGAATGTCGAGGGGGATAATTATAGAAGATTAATTCTGGCTGCATATTCGGAGAGGAGATGGTCGAAATGAGAGTATTTCATTTAGGTGGGTGGGGATGAGCTAAGGACTGTCAGATTGTATTACGTCATACTCCTGCTTAAGGTGAACACTGATTTTCAGCACATTTATAGAAAGAAACAGACTTAATGCAGGTTATCCTTATAATCAATGAGATTTGGAGTCCACAGCATGCAGACGAGACGTTCTCAAAGCAGTGCTTTAAGCTGACAGCAGCATGCTAACATCCTGATACAACTCACTTTCTACTTTGAAAGTCCCCATTAATTCAAAATAAATGTCTCAATTTCTTATCACATGTCTTTAGCTGACTGTCACCTCCAACAATGGCAAAATAAGTTGTTTTATAGGCATTCTTACAGTTGATGACTCATCCTCTAATCCTCTGATTTTTGTTTCCATCCTCCGTGAAACACTTGACCCACAAAGTGTTTAGCAGTTATGGACCACTATGTTTGTTGTAAGATTGTTTTTACATTTGTTTCTGATCTTACCACGCAAATCCAGCTTGTTGCTTTTGACCGTCACTGGGGCTGGACTAGTGGGCGCTGAAGAGCTCAACTCATTGGTTGGAGTTTCCTGTTGTAATGAGACATAAAAGTCAAGCCTACCTTTGTTTCTGTACAATATGTTTTCATATCAGTTTTTTTTAAGGTTAATACCTGATCAAAAAGATATATCGTAACATCATCAAAAAAGGACACATTTCTTCCTCTGTCCTTCTCTCTGTCCATCGGCTCCTTGGGGGACTTCAGCAGACTCCTCAGTCCGACACGTTTGTCCACGTCTGTTTCCGTGACAACAATCACCCTGCGGGAGCTTTCGTCCTCCTGCTCATCCTCCTCCTCCTCGTCAGGGTCGCTTCCCGAGGACAGACCTCTCCGTCTTCCAATTCGATTTCCAATTGCTCCGTCCACATATCCCCGTTTACCGGTTTGGGTGAGGGGAAGAGTCAGAGCAAGAGGAGGAAGAGCGAGAGACAGGCGAGCTAGTTTTGCTGTGTAAAGTGAGAGGAGGAAAGAGATTTTGTTTTTAAACAAAAAAAATCTGGTGAGATTCCTCGCAAACTATCCCTTCTTGTACAAACAGGATAGGAAAAGTGAATACGTTTATGTTCGATACATTTAGAACAAATGAGTTTTTATAACAAGACAGGAAGAGAAATTCAATAAAATACAGTCACATTTCAGTGACATGAAAGAATACATCTTGCCCAAAACTCAAGTTTATTCAATACAGCCCTTTATTTATCCAGGCCTTTTACCTCTGAAGAACACATACTGATTTGAAAACTAACAATGACACAATTTAATTAAATAAAAATGCATTTGAAAAAAAGAGCACTCTTAAAAGGCTGGAAACCGTTGAGATTAATTAAACATGTGATTTTTCCAGACATAGGCCTATCGTCATGTAAAATAAAAGGCTGCATATCTCAGTTTGTATTCAATAATCACAGTAATGAATGTTCACAATATGTGCAAGATGAAGGTACCTTTCATGGCCTGGTTTGCAGTAGGCTGAGGGGTTGTGACCTCAGGTTGTTCAATCACAGTGAAAGGTTCATCTTTAGTTTCATCGGTCTCTGTCTGAATGCTTGGTGAACTTTCCAGCACCTCAAGGCTGTACGAACAGCAACAACATAAACACACACAAAAAAACAAAAATCAATTCATTTATATTATTTTATAACACATTTAATAAAAATAACATCAAGCTGAAAGATCTTGTTTCACAAATATCAGAAGGTACTGTGATTAGTTATCTGGGTATTTCTGTCATCTATGCGTATTATTATTTCGATATCGAAGCATATTGATCAATATCGAATCGAATCGTGACCCAAAAAGAATCTTGACTTGAAATCGAATTGAATTGTGAGGTTGTGGACAACACCCAGCTATACAGCAGTTTGTTATTCAAAAAAAGATTAGACTTTTTCATACCCTGCTTCCTCTTTCTGTTTTTCCTCAGTGACCAGAGTATTGCTGTTCTCTGTGATCTGCTCTCCCCAGGGCCGAAGCGTCACTGTGTCTTTAACAGTTGCCCCCCAAAGCACATTTGTTTTCACATTTTCACTGAGGGAAAACTGCAGCCTCTCCTCACACACCTGAAAATACAACAACAAAATAACAAAGGGGTAAATGAACTCAGAGAGACAATGTAAGCACAATCTAACTACAAACCACAAAATAACCTGCTCACCTGCATCATAAGGCCATTCTTTGTTGTCAACTTAGAGAGAGATCCCTGGTCTTTTACATCCAATGCTTGTCCTGGGGATCTCTGCCCAACATTCCTCTCGTCTTGAAGGGACAGTTTGTCCTGAGAGTCCAGGGTGACATCCGACACAAACTCTACCAGGTCGTCTGATTGTTCAGAAATCCTGCCCTCTCTCAATTTCACATCGTTCCCTTCAGGAGCCAAGGGGCCACATTTCCCTTCAGATGCATCACTATCACCAACAGTGCATGCTTTTTGATCAGGTGTTTTCTTTAAAGATTCCAGAAACTCCAGGTTCCCCAGAAAAAGGTCACCCAGAGAGTCTTCCTCATCCCCAGATATACAGCAAAGTTTTTCCAGTTTTTCAAAATCCTCCAGGGGCTCCTCATCTATATCTTTCCACTCAGAAATTAGTAATTCTGGCAGAGTGTTGAGGGGAACTTGAGCTGAAGATGAGTTGGTGGTTTCCTGGGTTAGATTATTTTGTCCATCCTGCCTCTCTGTGTTTGGTGCAAGGTTGCTATCATCGACCAGTGTTACATGCACAGAGGGAAGGTTGAGATTGGCTGAGATCCCTACACTCTGAGTAGTAGCAGGTGGATCTGAGACACCAGTGGTGTGAGACGGAGAAATAAATGGCTCGGTCTCGGTACTAAAGTCTTCTAGATTAATGGGACTAATAAACTCCTCTGACTCTACAACAGATGGGGGTGGACTAGGAAAAGAGTCATCTAAACTCTCCAATTTATCATCCTGCACGTCGAGGTCTATGCTTGGTGGAGGACTAGGAAAATCCACAGAGCTAAAATTGTCTACCTGTGGATCTGACTGACCTACCTCCTGCATATCAAGGTCACTGGGGCAAGAGATTGGATTGGAGGGAACAGGCATTTCTCTGTAATCCTCCTCTACATTCCTAATGCTTACTTCATCTTCTATGTTCTCCTCGGCAAGCCATGGTCTAATTTCAGCCTCTGAATCTAAGCCTGACTCAACATTTTCCTCGTCTGAAAAGTTCACATCAGGAGCTTCGCTAATGCATATGGATATATTTGTTTTATTCTGACTGAGGTGGTTCTCAAAATGTGATCTTGCGTCTTCGTCAGCATCCTCAGCTAGTGCCTGCCCCTCTTTATGCATGTTGCAGAGGGGATTCTGAGGCCATCTGTTAAAATTGTGATTCTTCTCTGTCTCTGTGGAGTCCAGCAGACCTTCCCCTTCACTGACTGCCTCTATGCATGACACAGTGGATCTCTCTTTGTACTCCTTCTCTGGGATTTCTATATTCTCTACTTCAATATCTCCTCTCAGTTCTTTGTCGAAGATGCCAGTTTCTCCAAAGCTCTCAATATTTTCCTCCTGCTGTATGTCAACTGCTTGGACAATGAGCTGGTCCTCGTCTTCTTCAGACTCCCACTTTTCCTTCATAGCAACGTTACAAGCAAGTCCTTGGGTTTCATCGTTCCAGGTTTCTTCACAGCCCTCCAAGATGGCAGGGTGAGGTTCACTTCCTGCAAGTTCGTCATTTTCTTCAGTCTCCCAAAACTCCTGACCCACAACAAGCCTCTCCCCAACCTCCCAGGCCTTGTTACTGAGCCCAGAGAAAAACTCTGATCTAAGTTCAGCGTCCTGGCTCCTCCTCTCTGGAGTGGCCCACTGGTCATTTTCATCAGGCCACAAACGCAAGTCCCTTGACTCAGTAAAACGCTGGCAGTCAAACTCTCCTTTCACAACACTAGATTCTGTACGTTCCTCATCCTCCCCCAGGACACTCCATAACTCTTTAGTCTTTACTTCTAGGCCCACACAAGGGTCTTCATCCGTATTGTTAGAAGGCTCCCTCAGATGTACTGCTCCTTTGAGGGGTGACTTTTCCTTCATAGCATTACAAAGCTCTGCCGCAGCTAGCTGTTTATCGGTCTCTGTCGTGACCTGTTTTTCTTCGCTGCCGTCAGAGCAATGCAGGTTTCTCAGGCCCAGCTCATTATGGTCTAGACGGGGACTCGTTTTATGTCCTTCCAGCTCTTCAACAACCTCCACATCCCAAGAAGAACCTATCATCTCTTTTTCATAGATGGACCTCCCATCATCACATGGCTCCACTTTCAACTGACTGGTGTCACCTTTCTTAATGCCATGCAGTTTAGATAGTCTTGAGTCTTTGTCGTCAACTTGGGATGTTATCACAAATTCCACAGAGTCATTTCCAAATTTTTGGGAGTCCACTGCAGAGAGATTGATATCAGTCTTTGTAACACCTGTGTAATCATTGTTTATCTGCCTTAACATGCATTCCTTTGACTGGCTGCCAGAAAGAGACTCAATCAATATATTTGTCTCAGCCATGCTCTTAGAATGAAGGTTTACATCATTTTCTTTACAGTCCTGATATTTGCAATCTGCTATTTGAGAGATAATACCGTCTCTGAGGTGGTTGTCAATCGGATACCCACCACAGTTTCGCAGCCCTTTTTCATCATCTAAATCTGAAAACAACTGATCAATGAAGTCAACGCAGTTCTCGACCTGCAAATCATCACCAAACATTGTTGAATTTATGCTCTCATTTTGAAAAATGCCAGAATCGTCTCTTTGTGTTGACTCCAACCCTTTGTTAAGAATATCTTTTTCTTTACTGAAATGAGAGATGGCAATTTCGGGAGCATCTTGATTCAGAGTACTCCTTTCGTCACACATCTCAATAGTCGTCTTTTCTACAGTTTCTCTTCTCTTATCCAAAGTCTGTATGCTGTTTCTTAAGGGGCTCTTGTGACCTATCTCCCCTTCCTCCTCTGTTTTTTCCTCTATCCCTGTTAGTGTTCCCCGATCCCCTCCTCGACCACTGCTTGGTCTGGAGGCAACCAGTCCATCACTGCTCCTCCTGTTCATCCCATCGCTCTCCCAGTCACTATCTGAGAAATAGGCAGAGTCCCGATGTGGTGTTTCATTTCCCAGAGCTCGCCAACTGCTATTCCCAGCTCCTCCTCCTCCTCCTCCGGTACCCGCCCATGAGTCACTGGGTGTGAGGCAGTCGGCTGAGCTGGAGGTCATAGGTGACAGCACTGAGTCAGTTGGGGTGGTAAGTGAGACATCAGTGGATGGGTCCCAGTCTGGAGTGGTTGGAGTGGCGGCAGGAGTAGATGACGTTTGAGCAACGTGACGTTGTTCTTCCTGACTTGCATCATTGTGTTGAAACAAATTGTCTCTTTTGGCGTTCTGCAAGTCATTAGCTGCTGTGATGTGATTAGAGTCAACTACAGAAATGTTATCATTATGGTGCTTTTCCTTGTCATTGTCATTCGACATGGTATTGGTCATTCCACATGTTTCTCTGTCAGGGCTGCTGGGCTGTAGTTCTTCCTTCATTATGTCACCATTCCCTATAACGGCAGCCTTTAGAGTATCTCTTTTATTTGTGTTAGATTCTTTAATATTCTCTGTTGACTCAGAAATTGACCGCTCTAAAAGATCTGTATGCTCTCCCCTGGAAGGTAAAGCAGGGCCATCTGCACACTCCTCCTCATCTTTTTGACAACCTAGTGTTTGGTTGTGTAGGAGACCATTTTTGGGCATGATTTCTGAAAACACAAACTCGTCAGATTGGCAGAGGTCACCATTGCTGTCATTTTCGAGAGGTTGTTTGTTAGATCCTATGTGAAGGATTGGGATCCCAGGTCTCATGGAAACTTTAATCTCACTCTTTTTAGCTCGCTTTGTCACTTGGGCGTAGATTGCCTCAGTTTGAGTATCATCTTTTCCTTTGCTGGATGCTCGTATGGCGCTCTCTGACTGAAATCTGATGGTCTGAGCAGAGTTTGGATCAATGCATATGGACTCATATTCAGGAGACAGTGGAGTAGGGGAGTAAGAAGGGTCTGCTTCTTTTTTGTCTGCAGCTGCCTTTTGTCTAGATATGATTTCAGTCAGGAAGGTCTCTGCTGATTGGATCTCCTTTAGGAACTCCTCCCTGGTCATTTCTGTTCTCTGAGGCTCCTTCTCAGGCTGCTGCAGTTCTGACTCCTGCTTGCCAATTGTTATCTCAGAGAGGAGAGAGCGGGATCTCCTTATACCCTTTGAATAGGCTTCTTCAGCCTCAGTGTATGAGGGAAGGCCTGGGGCACAGACATAGGGCCGCAATCTGGATCCTGCTGGATACAGGTATTTTACTGGATCATGCTCTGATCCTCCTTCTGTACCTGAATCCATTCTTCCTGTGTCTATCTCTGTGAGGAAAAGATCTCCCTGGAATGTTTCTTTTGTGACTGAATTGTCCTCCTCAGCTCCTGTCCTGCTGCTGGGTTTCTCTGATCCCCATGAATGAGTTGCTGAACCCAACTCTGTGATCAGTGACTGGGAGCGGCGCATGCCTCTGTTTGGAAGCAAAAAGTTTCCCCATCTCTCTCCATCTCCTTTCTCTACCTTCTCTCCCTCAAATGAAGTCTCTTTCTTGGACTCATTAGACTCTGTCACGCTTGATATCTCTGTCAGAAAACAGATGCATAGGGGATTTCTTAGCAGCAGCCACAAGTTCTGCTTGAAGTTCAGCATCTTCCCTCCAAATGCTTGGCAGGATAGTGTCAAGGCGTGACTGAGTCCTTTTCATCCCCCTGGAGAAAAACTCTGAACAGGTTGGGTCTGCATCTTCAGATAGGCTGGAATGAGTAACAGTAGTCCCACCGCTTTGTCTCTCAGGGGACATGAAGGGAGAGTCATCCTCATCTGAGTAGGTGGGACTCGATGAGGACTGTCTCTCAATCAGGGGGTTTGTTGGCTGGGGACGGGGTAAATTGCGATAAATAGGGCGCAGTGGGTTTTCTCGACGAATAGGGGAGTCAAAGTCTTTTACACGAGAATGAGAAGTCTCCTTGGAGTTGTGCAATGATACTGAGTGCCTGGTAACCCCCTCTCTCTCCGACAAGTCACAGGATAGCGGGTCTCTATGAGATCTCTGCATCTGTGGCTTACTGTATCTGGAATAAGTCTCTGCTGTGTTATAGCTGTTATAGATGTTGCAGCTCCTTTGTGGTTTCGTGTGGGGAGGAAGAGGTGGGGGACACATTTGTGGGGGTTGGGGGTAAATTGGGTGGCTCGATGGGGGGAAGGGATGGGGAAAGGGATGGGGATGGGGGAAGAGTCTGTCGGGCCCTGTGAAGCCCAAGGTGTTCAAAGGTGGAAGGTGGGCAGCTGCTCATGTGATGGGGGTCTGTTTCAATTTTTCCACCAATGGTGTAATGAGGCAGTCCTCTGTATCCAAGCGGAGGGACGGGGAGGGGGCGTGAGTGAAGGTGGTTAGACATTGACATTGAGCGAGGCTTGGGAGGGAGTACAGGGGCTTGAGAACTTTCAGATGACTTTTTATCTGCATTGCTGCTCTTTCTCTTCTCCTCTTCGTCATCATCTCCCAAATCCACCACTGAGAAGTCAGTCACTCTACTTGAAGTGTCTCTAAACTCAGCAACACCAGTGTTTGGCATCTGGAGTTGAACCTCGCTTGATCTGACAGTCTGGAGGCCCTTTCCGTATTTGTCAGAAGAGCAATAAGGGACTCGCTCTTTTCCCAACATTCCACTACGAATCTCCACCAGCTCCACATCTCCATGGCACATCGAGTCAGAGCGAAACGACGACTGGGTCTTTCCTTTGAGAGTTGGCGATTTGTCCTGGGGAGTGTGCTCCTCTAGTCTAATGTAATACTCGCTGGCAAGAGAAGGGCTGCGGGCACTTATCACTGGAACCACAGTGGGAGTGTCCAAAGACTGTCTGTGGTTGTTGTTCACAGTCGGGATCGGCTGAGGGGGAGGAAGAGGTTTGTAGCCCCTTCTGGCATGAGCTTTCTCCCAGAAATACTCAAAATTCAAACCTTTGCTGGTTTCAGTGACAGTAAGAATGTCGTCCAGTTCTGAAGAAGACGGGGTGATACAGTTCCCCACAGGGTCCAGCAGAGGGTATGAGTTGTCTCTGTCCTCCCTGCCATAGTCTCTCTCCCTGTGCCTTTCATTTGCTGCAGTCTGGAAAGCAGGTGGACGGAGTAGGTCCCAGCGTCTTTCAAATGACTCCTCGCTCTCCCCTCTCCTTCCTCTGCCATCCTCATACTCCTCATCCTCTTCATCTTCTTCCCCGACACTCCCCCTCACCATTCCTCGCTCAGCGGCCAGGAGGGAGGAGAGGAGGAGGAATATTTCTGCTACAGGGGGCCGTTGAGATGGAGGTAACCAGCAGGACTGCATGATCTCATACCTGAAAAAGTTATATGAGGAGGTGAGTTTGGAGAGACACAACTAGAGTATTATTTCTTTCTATTTAAATAACCATAATTTCTGCACAATACACTTAGTGTAGTACTGACCAGTAGTCAGCATGGGAGAGTTTGAGTCTTGGCTGGGCAAGGGTGATCTGTCTCTCCCTAATTACGAAGGTCAGCACCTCTTCATCGCTTAGGTGTCTGTGGGGCTGAGACCCAAACTCAAACAGCTCCCATATAACCACTCCTAAGGACCTAGAAGAAAAAAAAAAGATGAAGAGATGGTGCAGGACATATCATCAAAGACCTTTTAGGTTTTTGTTCTGCAATACTATTATATCCAACACCTTCCAAGTGCAGAAAACTCCAAGAGGCAAAATAAGAGGCTTTGTTTAGAAAATAACTTGTTTTGAAGAAATGGGATAATAACCATGCTTCTCGATTTTACTTTGCAAGCAGACATCTTTCTTTACTTTTGTTTTCTGATTGCAGAATATTTTATTTTTGTCTTAATAAATAACTAAATGTTTAGAAGGCAATATGTACATGAAATATTTAAAAGTTTGGTTTATCTTTGTATTCTATTTGACAAGTAATATTCCCACGAACAAGCCAAAACCAGCCTGTTTTTAGATGCATTTTTTCTGCAGAACTGTATGAGACAATTGTGAGAAGATTAAAACATACCACACGTTGCTGGTTTTTGTTTGGTCTGTAACAATAAGAGATCCCCTGTACTCCTCAAGCAGCTCCGGAGAAATCCAGCGTAGTGGAATCCAAAGCTTGTCAGGAGTAAGGTAATAGTCCTCCTTCAAAAAGACAAACAGCAAGAATACGTGAGATGCTGTGGACATTTTTCTTATCCCACTATTTGCATTATTAAAATAAAGAATATTATGGTTCGGTTCCTAAAATCAAAAACAAAGGATTTAAAATAACTACTCAGGTAATTATGAATTTATCAAGCAATGATCCACATACCTTATAATGGTTGTGAGAAAGGCCATAGTCCCCTATCCTTACAGTGAGGTCAGACGTCAGCAGGCAGTTTCTTAAAGCCAGATCACTGCACAAAGCAGAACACAACCTCAGAAAATCAGCCACAATGGACAGAGATATTCTTTAAAGACTTAGATCCTCAATTTTCTACAGAGATGAAGGCTCGACTGACCTGTGGATGTAGTTGCTTTCATGAAGATGCAGCAGGCCAGAGGTGATCTCAAAAGCCATTCTTTGAAGAGTCAGGAGGTCTCGAGTCAGCAGGTCAGGAGTCATCCCGTCTGACTTGCGTTGGGCTCTCAGATACCTCTTCAGGTCACCCTTTTTATACCATTAAGACACAATGCAAGCAGTTACTTGGATGCAGACTTGAATATATGTTGAGTTCAAGCCAGGTCAGCTGTGAGTGCATGCCAAGTGTCTGTGCTTTTCTCCTCAAACAGAAATAAAACTCTCAGGGAACATACTATAGGCCAAGAGGATATTGGCGACTTCTGCAATAAATATGTCTCTTTTGAGGTGTTTTCTATCACAGAGCCTTAAAAGCACCCAGCGATTTGGTAATGAGCTGGCAGCCTTGTATTAGTCATTTGTGCTTCAGGAAGGGCAAGGAAATAAAATGAGGGCCCTATAAAAGGATGAGAATTATCTGAGAGGAAAGGACAATGGGAGACTTTATCAAACAGGATAATAGCAGTCTAGCAGAGGTCCCCTAGTGATGTTTGGCTTCTCTCACTGTGTTGGTATAATTGATCTGCTTGTGTTTTGTTTGGCCAAAGAGTAAACTCATAAGGCTTCCTTAATCAGTCAGTGATTAAGCTAGCTGAGGGAGTGAAAACAAACGGATTGTAGGGCTACAAGACTCATTTCAGCGACTCTGTAACATTTAAAAATGTATCTATACTCATGTAACTACATTTTACTTTGGTCCAGTATTTCAGTGGCTGACAGGCACTTACCAGCTGACAGAACTCCATTACCAGGAGGAAGGGGATGCTCTCACTACATTGCCCCAAACACTGAAGGATGTTGGGATGTTTAAGACTCCTGAACAGAAGAGGAGAAGCCAGGGAGCAAAAAAGATAATTAGAAAAATATAATTATTTAATTCAACTTAATTTATTACAGCATCATATTATAGATAGATAGATGAGTGGGTAGATAGATAGATTGATTGATAGGAAGGTAGATGGGTGGATGGAGGGATAGATTAGACAGACAGGCAGACTGACAGAAAGATAGATGGAGAGGTGGTAATAAGCTGGCAGCTTCAGTACCGCACATTTTAAGATAGAGACTGTGATAGAAAAGAAGAGGATGCCCTTGTATGAAGCCCTGCAGCAAAGCCAAATTAAGTGTGAATGGAAGTTGGAAAATTGAAATGAAGCGTATCAGTGTTTTTTGCCTAATGTTGCGTGTGTGTGGTGTGTTTTCATCCAACACAAAATGAGTGAGAAGATGGCGTGGCAAGTGGAAGGGTTTCTGCCTCAGCAGAAGCAGACAAAGACAGCAGTAAACAGCACAACGACATTTAAGACGTTTTGGGTGCATATTTATATGTGTGAGAATGTATGTATGAGAGAGACAGAAGGTTTTGCTCAGAGAAAAAAGAGAACAGACAGCCCTGTCCTTGAATGCTTCCTCTTGAGTGTGTTACAGACTAAGAAGGACAGCCAAAACACAACTAAGATTCTGAGTCAAGCTCACTTAATATGTTGATTCAGTTGTCATTGTCAAGAACAAGTCATCGCTCCTGACCTCTTTTTTATTTTTTTTGCCAAATCAAATGTCTACCCGCATTTGGCAAATGGCAGATGCTAATTTGTACTCCTTGATAAAAGCCTTTCTTGGCTGTATCAGTATCACATGGTGGCTACTATTGCCTGATGTCAGCTTAGGTTGAACATAGAGTAAACGACACTCTTCCTTGACTAAAACTGTACTTGTTTTGTTAAGACATGCTGCTTATGATGGCTAACGCTAGCTATTGTTAGCTAACATTGAACATAAAATGAACTGCGTTTTTTTTCTTGTTTAAAGCCTCATCAAGTTTGTTGTGATCATTAGCTTACAGTGCCTTACCTGAGCAGTTGTAAGCTAACATAGGATGAACTTGTTAAAATCATTCCAGTGATTAGAATCACGCGCTAAATTTACTATAATCCAACAAGCTTCTCTTGTGGTCACAGTTGTCCCTTCATCATGTCGTCCCTATATTCTAGTAATCTGTTGTTTAACTCCATTATGATAGATTGGTATGGCAGTATGTTTTATATTTACATCTTTAATAGAACAACAGAAGAGAGGTTAGAATCTGTACTGAAACATTAGAGATATCAATATTTAAAGTCAAGAAAAAAATGCTTCCAGCTGCTTGTGTTTCAAATTGATATCATTAGGCTACAAGCTGTGGATAAGGGGATTTCAATGCATTGACCTAGGACAACAAACTGGTACACTGAACACTTGACTTTGAAAAACATAGCAGTCTCTATATTGTGTCATGTTAAAATGATATTGCGATGGGGGACAACGGAGCTGGGAACATTATTACGCTCCCAGTGTAACTATAGTCATGCATTAAGTACCAAAAATGGTTGCCACAGTCTCAGCATCTCACCTGTACGGCTCAGACTCAGCCAAGAACTTTCTCTGCTCCAGGGGGCTGGCACTGACACGAAGCTCCTTCACCACAGCCTGAGAGGAGCTGCAGTCACACAGCACTTCAGCCAGGATCACCTACGAGAGATAAATTAACAATGATGTGGTAGAGTTCCCAGTAGAGGCAGTAAAAGGACTATTTTGAGTCAGGACTCCTGGCCTTGTTGGTAGCCAGTATCAAATGTAACAGAACAGAGCGTACTGTAAGAAAAAAGAAGCTATGATGTGCGATGTGTTTTAAATGACAACACAATGATACATGAATTTGAGAGGTGATCTTCTTACCTTTCCGAACCAGCCATTCCCTATCTCCTGAAGGTAGTTTAAAGCGTGTCTTTTGAAGCACTGAGACTTGGAGTCTGTAACAAAGGAGAGAAGTAACATCAGGGTCGATTTATTGTTTGTAACAGACAGATATATAATCCTTTTTAACATCCCGTTTGTTAAAATTGCATTTTGACCCCAGAACTAGTTGACGTTCTTAAACACACCTCTTAAACACACAGTTTGTTATTTCTGCTGCTAGATGTCTCACATTTAAAAAAAAATAACAGAAGACAAAGTGTAATGATCTTGTTAAGTAGAGTGAGTGCATCATTACATTGAATAAAGGGGATCTTCTCTTTGCGTGAACATCTTTGTAAAGCGTGTGGATAGTGTACACCACTCAATAAATCTATTTACCTTGCCATGAGGAACATTCATTCTGTGCTCTTTTTGGAGACCCCAGTGGACAAAGTGGTGCGTCTTGTCTCATAGCTGATAGTTTGCTGTAGGTGTGTGTAATATTATCTAAAAAAAAATCTCCTGTTTTGTTATGACTGGCTAATATGCTACTCACCCAGTACTGTGCTACAAACCCAGTGTGCTTTGGTAAGTCAGATTGAAACAGCATCATACCAGTTAATCACTCAACAAGGAAGGTTTGTTACATAACATGCCATTAATGTAAAGTTGAAATTAAGCATGGACAACCTATCAACAGATGAAAACGCAAACAGACTAAATGTGCGCCTGCATAATTTTGCAAGTTAAAGTCATATTTCTGAGAGAAGTAAAGACATTTTTGAAGGAAGGGGGTCTTTATCGAGGGACTCAATTCCCGTCCTGAGACTAAAAGCCATTTCGATATCTGTAAGTTGTGCTGATAAAATCCCTTTCTGGGATCAAATTTCTAACTTTTAGCTTGTAAGAAGCACTGATGCAAAATTTCTTCAGATCAGAGTTTCCACTCCATTGGAGTTCGGCAGCTGGTTGTACACCCAGTTTGAGACCTTTAATGGATCCGCATCAGTGACTTGAGCAACAGACCGTGAGGGAGGTCAGGGTAGGACAGAACTTGAGTTAAGGGGGTTTGAGGTGTTAGGAGCAGAGTGAGAGCTGTTTGGAAGTTGTTACCTGCTCCGTCCTGCAGGGCGGGGCAGTTGGACCTGTCTCTGACTGGCAGGGTGTAGACCTCAGGGAGGGAGGGACATGATGACAGGCTGTCCTCCTGTATGGGACTTGAGCCGCCGGAGCACTCTTCCCCGTCTGCATTGTCAAACTCCTGTTTCAGCCATAGAAGAACACAAAAATCACAAAACTGGCATAATCAGAAATATAAAAGAACCTGTACTTTTCCCACTTAATGATAGGGTTGGATTGAGTGGTAGGTACCAAGACAGACAACAACAAAGCAGCCATTCTGAACTAATGACCCCTGCCTGCGAGCTACACAGCAACTCAGGTCTAAATGTGCAGGCTTAGCAGAGATTAGTCTGACAGATGATTATTGACCATTTCTACTTCATTAAACTGGAATTATTGACTCCTTTCCCCCACTTCCATACAGTTTATCAAGTCAAGCCCAAGTTAAAAAGCATACCAACATGCAAAAAAAAAAGGTGTGACAAGAAAAAAGAAAGCAGCGATAGGTGAATAAATCTCTTACATGTTGAAGACTTACATTGAACCCCACTCCTCCTCTCTTACAGCACAGGCAGGTCAGGAGCAATAGAACAAAAGAGACGAGGCCCGAGCAAGAGATGAGGATGACGATGTAAGGTGGAGGAGAGAGGGATGCAGTCCTGGTCTGGGAGACTGCGAGGAAGACAGGTAGAAAATACAAAGGAGGAGAGGCTTTAAATAGGGAATGCATGGTATTTGTGCTTCTATAAGGGGGACACACTGTTAGGTTTGAGTGAAAAAGAGAAGAGACCACTGAATTGGAAACGTGTAAAATCTTGTTACATAGCTGGTTTGTTTAGAGGGAAACCATTGGAGCGTTTTCTTAGCGGCAGGCTTGGAACACAGTGAAGAACCCCAATGGACAGCTTGCACCAGGGGGGTTTGGGGGGTTAAGCAGGAAAAAAAACGAACTCGAAGATTAAATAAATACTTATTGGAATCAGTAAAAACAAGAGAGACTGGAATAATTGTTGAAAATAGGATAATATACCATTCCAGTAAGGAAAAAAAAGCATAAGGAGAGAGGGGAAATATCAGAAATGACATTCCACGGAGGAAACAGTTAAGAAGCAGGGAGGGGTGGCTGGAGTTTCATTTAGGTAAAAGAGGAGCGCTAACTGGGAAGGGTTGGAAAGAATTACTCAAATCAGGAAGGTTGACTACTCAGGTGAGAGAGGGAGGGATCGGGACATTTGATAATTGTACCTCAAAGTAGTTGATTGAGTGAAGTGAACCATCTGTAGAAAAGAAAAGGGGCAGGGCAGGGTGGTTAAATACCCGTCAGGTTTTTAACTATTTAAATACTGTAGCAAAAATAGGTCAAACATTACATCACTTATAACAAAGATAACAAGAGAGAGCAACAGTGACACCTTGAAAGAACCAGTAGATGGGTTAAAAGGGGAAAGGACATATATAATATATAAACATTAATATTTAAACCATGCCTGAGAATACATGACTAAGCCTATTGTTTCAAAGTGTAAACAAAGCTGCATTTAAGCCTGAGCCTAATACTAGCAAGAGCAGAGCTGGAATTACACCATGTGCTATCCCATGTTTTTATTTATTGTTGTTTTTAACATAATAAAATGCACAGATCACAATCTTGAATTAGCTTATGCAGAAAAAAATGAGAATGCATTGAAAAAGTAGCCGAATATAACCCATGGTGCTACATGAACATTGAAACTGTCCCTTAAAATGTAACTTCGCTTATGGTTTCTAAGTCATGTCTTAAAATATCCCAAATTAACTTTGCATTTCTACTTAGATCCCAAAATACATTCATTCATAAGGTCATGATAATAGTATCACAGCAAACATGCATTTTAAAGATTATTTAAAAATGAACCAATTTAATAAATATTAAGAGAATAAGCACTCCAGTAAAACCACAAGACATGAAATGATGCTAAATATGCAACCCCTGTTTGCATTGGCACCTTAACCAAATCGTTTATGTTGGATTTTATTTGTTTTCGTGCAAACAAAAAGTTGCAACACAGACAGAGCAGAATGCTGTGCACGTTTTAGGAAGGATGTATTCACGAATATAAAAATAAACAAAAGCGGGTACACTGGGTTGCAATAGATTTGCAATCAGCTTTCTAACATGAAATTTCGCCAATGAAACAGACAATAGCAACCTCATTTATATTCTAATTGCTGATCCTTGTAGGTTACCTGCAACACAGAGGCTACGTGAAAACCGAAATGACCCCTCTGGTTGTGTTCTTACCTTAAACATGCACCTCAGACACACAACTATAATTCTGATGGCACAATTCCTATGCAGTGCTATTCTTTCATCTTTTCCCGAGACAGATGTCCAGACAGACACTGCATATAAATAGGAAGCTAACACAGGGCCTTTTCCACCAGCTCCGGTGCCAGCAGCTCTTATCAAAACAATACACCACAATACAATGACTGCACACATTACACAAACACAACACTCTGCCAGATCTTTTGGGTAAAAGAAGACGTGTTCAGATGGAGCAAAAATAAAGATGCCACCAGTGGTTAATAGGCTAAATCATCTCCAGTGCCCAGCAGAGGCTATTTATAGAATAAATGGTCGACGATTTTAGCCTGCTATTCATACAGCATGCTGTTTTTAAATGCCATCGATGTCAGGCCCGAGATCGAAACGCCTCCTAATATTTTCATCACTGCATGCAAATATGGTACCCTACCCATCTCCAAACCAGCCTCGCTCCTGTTTTCATTAAGTCAGCCACGTAGACTACGGCAGTAACCTATTAATTCGCATTGTGTCTCAACCATACAGGATAATAATACAGTATCACCCCCCCCCCCCCCCCCAATGTAAAGAGGCCCTTTTTCATAACTGACTACATCCCCCCTCTTTTCTCCTTTCTAACGCATCACTGACAGGGTTTCAACATCCCCCCCCCCCACTCCTCCTCCACCGACTCCGCTCACCTTCCCTCTGCGGGGCTCCGAGCGCTCTCTCCGGGCTCAGGTAGGACATGATCCCCGCCAGCGCTACCATCACCCAGCAGTGTGGCCGCATCGTCGCCGCGTCCGGAGCAACAACAACAACAGCATCGGTGTCCTTCTCTCTCCGTTCCCCCCCGCCACGGTCTGTGCCGTCTTCGGACTCGCGCTGTCTCTGTCACCCCCCCACACCTCCTCCTCCTCTCCGCTTTTTCTCCTAATAATAAAGAGCGTCTCCTCGCCTTCCTTGTTGTGCACCCCTCCTCCTCCCTCTCGCTCTCCCCGCTCCTCTAATCTGCAATTAAACACGGTGTGAGGGATGCTCTATTGTGCATCCTCTGCCTCCGTCCGTGTGGAGCTCCTGAAAACAACCGTCGGCTATTTCTCCCATAAATATAAAGTCTTTCTCTCCGATCGCTCTCCCTGTGTTGAGGGGTCGTCTGTGTTTTTCTCCTCCGCCTGCCTACGTCAGACACACGGCGCGCATTGTCATGGTCTAAGCTCGATCATCATTATGCACTATAGGGAAACAAAACAGAAAGAAATCTGTGGTAATATTCCCACAGGGAGCTGATGGTGTGCATGTGGTGCTCCGAAGTGGGGATGATATTGATCCCAAATTGGATGTTTAATCCCTTAAACTATCACTTCATTATTCATTTGATGGATCCTTTTAAATAATATTAAACATTGAGGATTACTCTAAATAAGTAGGGATTGGCTATTTAATATATTAAAGGTGATATGAACACTCATAACTGCACTTCATTAAAATAATCTCTTTATTTTCCAGCAAATAATTACAATCCAGTTTTGGGCACAATTTATATTGGCCAGTTTATTTAAAACAACAGACTACTCAGTTTTTTCATGTACTGACTTTACTTTATGACCATTTTAGAGACCTTGTTTCTGCTCAATGATATCATGTCTGATAGTATGAGAAAACAACAGATAACAGTTTTATGAAAGTCTGAAAGCTGTATTTCAGTAGTTTTTTCCCTTTGTGTACATTTCTTAAAGTAACTTACAGCAAAACAGTAAATGTCTTTCTTTTGTGTTGCTCATTGACATTGCTGTAAGAGTTGGGGGTTTAACATCAGATATCATGTCTGATAGTAGTACAATTGCACTGTGTTAATAGAAGAACAATGGCAGCGTTCCAGTAAACCAGCATGCAAAATACCAGGACTCTTAAACTGAAGAGAATAAAGTTATTGTTAGCTTAGAAAAAAAAAACGTGATTTCCTTATGTGACATGCTGAAATGACTCTTGCAAAAAAAATCTTTACATTGTTTTTAGTATAGACAAAAAAAAAAAAATGGTATTTCTCTTGCAAGGACCAGTTTTAAGAAAAATTAAATTAATGACTTTCACTTACAGGTTGAACTTAAACAATGTGTTTTATTGTAAAGCATATGTACTGAGTGATCCCACCTAGGGCTCAAATTAATGAATTACTCTGTTTTTAATTTTTCTCATCACTATAAATAGTGGCATACATTTGGCCTGCTTGAAACAAAGACTGGTTTAGCCTGAAATTTGTCAAATTCTTTGTTTTTTTTTAATCAATATATTAATTGACAAATACTGTCATTTGGTGCAGCTACATTCCTGTCTGAACTTCTGTCACCTTATAATCCAATTTAATTTTATGCTTTAATATAAAAGATTTTAACAGCTGTTACTGAATGTTGTTTTTTTGCTGACAGCCTGGACTTCAAGCCCCCTGTGAGGCCACCACCTGCTCTGCAGACATGATCATGAGCAAATGCTGCACAGACCAAGGAACCCAAAACTAAATCTGACTCTCCTGCATGAATGATCCACTCTGGATGAAAAATAAATAAATAAAAATGAACCAGGGCACAAGTATGTTTCCTAATTTGGCACATCTCCAATGTTACCTTCTTCCCTCTGGTTTTTTCACATTTACTGCCTTTGAAAAAACACAAAATAACTGTCCACTGATCCTCCATCACAGATCACACTTGTTCCATGACCAATAAAGATTGTTCATGACTTTAATATTTCATCTCTCCAGCTATCTCGATCCCTTCTTTGACGCTTTCGGGCTAGTTCTGGGAAGTATGCACTGTTGTACGGTCTCTCCCTCTCAGTCGTTTCCCTCGTCGACTCCTTCCCCTTGCCATTCCTCTGGTCCAGCAGGGCTCGAGCTCTCCTCCTTTCTTCTGCCTCCCTCTCCAAACGCTCAGCACGAAGCCTTTCTATGGAACTGAAAAAGACGGGAGATACATAATAAGTAACATTAATTCATTTCTTAATATTATCACACTCAATTCCGTCATAATTTCTAGCCTATTTTTGAGAGAAGCATGTATCTCAATAACATCCTAAAACCAGAATTTCCCCTTGGGGATTAATAAAGTATGTAAACTGTAAAAAATACATTTAAAAAAACAGAGGACTAAAAATATCTTAAACTGAGAGTGGTACAAAAATCCTTAAAATAATTCAACTTCTTCAATGTCTTGCAAAAGATAAGAGTATAAGATTGATACAAATCTTACATCTAATATCATGCTATAGCCAGAAGCTTGTTAGCTTAGCATTAAGGATGGAAATATGAGGAAACAGCTGGCAAATTCTGACTGTTTAATCAGATTTGGAGGTTCGATATAAAGCTTGTCTAATGACAAATGCAAGTCAAATTGTATTATTCTCAACTGATGATTAGAAAATGTTGAATTTTAGAAGTCCATCCTTTGTCTAAAGTAACAAACTCTGTCTACGAACACTTCTGAGGTAACCAACAGGCATATTATGTCTCATCACATTATTTCGGCATCAAGTATTTCTTGAGAAGTTTTTGCACGTCAACAGGCAGCATTCAGCTGTACAATAGTACAGTTTGTGAGAGAATAAGCAAAAAAAAAAGACAAAACCCTGTGCTCCACGTCTTAATATTCTTAGTTACTACAGCTAACAAGTAATGAAAACAATGGGGACTTGACCTTACCTCTCTCCACTGCTCCTCTTTTCCCTTCTGTCTCTTTTTTCAGATTTCTTGCCCTTGTGATGTTTTCTGTCCTTTATAGCCAGCGCTTTCTTCATATCTTTTAATGGATCTAAACTGTCTTTCAGTCTGCGGTCTTTCTTCTCTTTCTCCTCTTCACTAATTCCTTTCCTTTTTCCTTTTTCTTTGCTTTCTTCTTTTTCTTTCTCCTCTTCTTTTTCTTTACTGGTTTTCATGTACCACGGTGTGACCTCCGTCCCTGGTTGGGGCCCCAGAGACACCAGCAAGCCTATGGCTCGTTCCTGTTTCTCCTGGAAAAATAAGAAAAAGAAATACCAACAGTGGTTAAAAACATGTTTTGTAGATTTCTCCATCTGAACAACATTGCCATGGCTTGCCACCATGGTTTTTAAACGCATACAATTGTTATGCCATGGTTAATGCTTCACTGCAAACTGTGCAAAATCAGAAATAGCATCAAATTAAAAAGTTCTGGGGGTGTGGGGGGGGGTCATATATGAGCACAATCACCGTTTCATCTTTCTTTTCTTTGAGATATTCCTCATTCCCCTTCTTTTCTGAGGACTCCTCCAGGGGAAAAAGATTGAGATGCTCCAAAACTTCACTTCCTGCAGTCCGTCCTTCATCAACATCATACTTGGTCTCTCCATCGGACTGGAGAGCAGCCCTGGATTTCCTTCTCAAATACTCTGTACGTGCCTGTAAAGAGATGTCATTATTTTAAGCCAATTATACAAAGAACAAAACTATACAAATACAGATATAGACACATCCCATACTTCATTCACAACACCACGTTTTCTATGTGCTTTAAAGATTGCACTTGCATTCAGCACAATTCTTTTTAAAATGATTCTATATGTACTGCCAAATCCAAGTCTGAGTGCAAAACCAAAACTGAAATTGAAATGCATGGCTGACATTAAAAAGACAAAAACCTGAATAATGAACAAGCGTCTCCAGAGGATCTTAAATGCTCCATGGCATGATGTGGAGACGTTGAAATAGAAACCAAAATGTGACACTAAATATGTATTGTGTTTGATAACACTGACGCGTATGCGTGAGGTGGACTGCACAATGTTACGCACGCTCACAGTAAACAACTCGACCCTCGTGACAATAATCTTCACCTCTTGCTCAGCACGTTCCACGCGACGCTTTGCCTCGCGCTCCTCTTCAGCTGCTTGGGCTTCGTCTTTCCGCACTCGCGCGACGTTATCCTTGTTGCGAACGTGCCAGCTCTTCTTCGGAAGAATGTTCATGGTTGCCTTGACGACAGTGGATACTACCCGGCTTAGTGGAAAGGGGAACGTAGGTGAAGACAGCAAACACCGTGTTGCAAGAAGACTCGGTGAAATGACTAGGGCGCTAAAATTGGCCAAAGTCACTCGCTTGGCGCTGCCTTACCTTGTATGTTCCCCTTGTAGCTAACGCTAGTCAGGCTTGCTACGTTTCTACCTTGACGCTGACTGACGTCACAATTCTATGATATATCTGCGTGCAGAGACATTTTACCTGTTCTCTTCAAACAAACTCATCATTTCGAATAATCAACATTCAAAATGAGACGAAGACACCGCCACTAACTTGTAAGAAAAGTTGCTCTTGCTGGTTGCAGCAGAGTAGCCTACAGGAACCAGTTGACACAAACAGGAAGTAAACATTACTCAGTTTTGGCATTAACACAACTGTGACACCAGAGGGGGCTGTAATTCCTAATTTTATTCTTCAAATGAAAAAAATAAAAAATCATTCAACACTATTTCTTGGACAGGCAAAGTGGTAAAACGTGTTTATTTACAACAATAACACCTTAAATGTATTATGGCATGGCCTTCTGTAATTACCTTAACCCATTAAACTAGGTAGAACATGTTAAAATGTACCTAGCCTAAAATATTTTTATTAACATTTTTCATATAACACCTCTCTGCTTTGTTAAGAACTACAACATACTTTTACATTATTTTGAACGTCAAAAATCAAACACAGTCCCTGTTATCTGTTCAGTACTCATGTAGTGTGATCTGGTATCTGTAGTTTTCTACTCAGCTCCTCAATCTGCTTGACCAAGAACTGCTTGTCACGGCCCTCCTGTAAGCCAAAGATCAACCATTGCATTTATAAAACTGAATGCATTGCAGTATTAAGAAAAAACATAGACTATCATAAATAATATTAGTTCACAATACAGGTTAATTCCCAAACTTACCAGTTTAAGCTGTGCTCTTAGCAGGGCGACAGTTTTCCCATAGACAGAGGCTAAGGCTATGAAATAACACATCACCACACTGAAAGGGATGAAAGATTAAAAAGCACAACTAAGTCATAGTGAAGACCATATCATATCCAGGTAAAATATATGTTGTATTCAATATTAAGGTTTAAAGTGCAGCACTGTAATTACCACAGTTCACCTACCAAAATAACACGAACAGAGGGATGGAGAATGGTTGGGAACCAATGAAGAAGAGAAACTCCTTTGTAGTTTCAGAGAGACCGTCGAAAGAGGCTGGAACAATTGACCACATGCTGGGGAAGAAACGGAAAGGACCACAACCAAAAGAAGGATGGATCCTAGGTAGAAAAAAATTGAAAAAAATGTTGAAACAGCAGTGCAATGACTAATACTTTATCAAAACCCAATCTTGTAAGTTAGTCCAGAAATAAAAACATCAGAATGCACCATTTCAACCATTTTTCAGGGCCAGCGCTAAACTAAAATATCGTCTGATAGTTACTGGGAGGAGAAGGAGGCAGCAATCAGCACTCACTCAGCAAGACTATACACCATGACAACTGTGGCAAGGCCCCCACCAAACAGGAGCACCATCAGGAAAAAGAAGGTGGAGGTGGTGGAGCGAAAAGTCTTCAGCGCTGGTCGACAATTATTGAAAAGCGTTATCTGTGGAGGAAAATTGCAACGGAGACATAGAAACAGGGTAAGGAAAAAAATACAAAACAGACGGGTGATGAACAATGATCTCCAGTGTGCAGAATGTGTGCTGAGTAAAATAAACATCTTCACCCTCTTGCAGTAGAAGAAGATGACAAACTTGATGGTGTTGATAAGTGGCAGCAGAGGACAATACAGAGCTCCAGTCCAAACCACAGTCTGACTATAAACTAGCCCAAGTACGTTGGAGGAAACTACAAACTCCTGTCGGCCCACCCATTGGGTCAACTTATTGGACCAGTTGTCCACCACCATCCTGCCACACACACGAAAACACATCATTACACAACTGATAGTGCTTAAAAATGACCGCAATTACCATCATATTTAGACAAATAGATCACACGGTGATTTATACCTGCGTGGAAACTCCACCAGGATGAGCACAGCAATGTTGATGAGAAGGTCAAACAGTGTCAGCTTGTACATCTCCTGCCCTACTCGTGTTTCCCAGCACTACATGAGGAGACAAACATGACAAACAAGGATGAAACATTGATATGCATTTTTTTTAGGTGTGTGTTCATTTGTATTTCACCTAATTTCCTAAATTATGTCATTCATGTATTTCATGCATACGCCATGTTGTAAAAATTTCCGGGTTTAAGAAACGAGAGTCATCTACTCCCATTAATAAACCAAGTGTAAACGAATACATACCAAGGAAGTTGTATGAGACAAATAAACATATTCAAAGTGTATTATTGTATGTATCATTCATAATCTCAATCTCAGTCCCTCTCCATTTCATATTTCAAAGTTAGTGACACTTTTGCTAATAGCTTTGGGACTCCTTCCATCCTGTTTATTAAGAAAAAGCGTCTTTTAAAATCATTTACATGCACATGAGTGGTGTGGGGCTGTATGGTGGTGCAGTGGTTAACGCCACTCAGTATGACTGGTTGTCTATCTCTTTATGTCAGCCCTGTGATTGACCAGCGACCAGTCCAGGGTATGCCTCGTCTCTGGCCCAATGACACCTATGATGGATGAGTTGTATAAATACCTGGTAGAGATCATGGTTGTAATGGCACAGTGTACAATTTTCACTTTGACTTTTTCCCCCCTCGCAGGTGATCTGACGCCACAGGGTGAAGAGGAGGACACCCAGACTCACCAGCCGAAGAAACACCGCCCTAAATATGGAAGAGAAATAAGGGAGTCATTATCATGTCATTAATGCTACTTTTTCTTTACAAATGCAAGGTTTTAAAAAATACAAAACGTGTCCCTTTGTCACAGGTTTTAATTTTCTTCTCTCCAATTCATTTTCAAAACATCTTAGAATAAACTTGTGACACTTAGGATGGACACTTTGTCTCTTTCTGGCAATTTAATCATTTATTGAAGTGAACTTTTATACGGGGGGATTTTTTTAACTTAAGTAAAAGTTTTTAATTCTTATTCCAACACTGTGTTCATGTAACATACATTTCTGTAGGATGCCCCCCCCCCCCTTTGAATCATGTACAAACACAAATCAGCTCATGGCCAATTGACTTACAGACCAGTGCAAACCTTAATAGTGCCACTATGACGGTGTTGCTGGGGGAGTATCGCTCTACTAATGCAATCTGGTCACACAGTAGCGGCACCAAGAAGTTTCCAGCGGTGATGACAATGGAAGGTAAATACTCATAAACCAAAACCAGGATCCCGCTCTGTCCACTCTTAGCCTGTTTCTAAAGACAGGGCAAAAAATGTCACCCAAAACTTTAGGGTCCAACAGCATCAGTTTCATCATTACTTTTCTTTTACATCAAATACCTGGCTGAAGTCAGTGACCCAAAAGATGAGGTAGAAGGCTGCTCCGATGAGACCCAATGAAACAAAGCCCATCATAACACGAAGAGAGTATAAAACTATCCTCTTGGATAAAGTCAGAGACGCTGTCTTCTTCTTCATGAACTCCTCCTCCAGATCGACCTGACAGTAAGAGAGGAGAAGAAGAAGGAGGTGAAGGTTATCTGAAATCTTCACTTCTATAGTGTGATTATCATTTAAACATGATCGCACATCTTTTCACCATCATGTAAAGTAGGACACATCCCTTCTGACCTGTAGCTGGTAGTGGATGTTTTTCTGCTTCAGTTTGGTATCTCGGTCTCCCAGGCAACCATAGTCCCAGCTGGTGAACACTATCATGCTGTAGTTGCCTACAGTGCTGCCTCCTGTTGCCACAGCAACTCGAGCTGCAGTCCCCATGCTTTTTGTGAGCAGCAAGTCAGGAAATAAGAGATACAGAAGTGGGTCAAGGTCGCTGAACTCTGGACTCAGGCCTTTAAATGTCATTCTCTTTATTTTGTCTGTTACTGAAGCTCAGATTGTTTTACTCACCGTGCTGTGATACAAATGAGACAAAAGAAGAAGTAGAAGACGGCAGTGAAAAGGTAAGCCAGTGAGATGTTGTAGGAGAAGCTGCTGTCCACCATTGTGTTGTTGTAGTAGCCGTAAAACAGGTAAGAATACTCCAAAAAACCCTGGAAAAAGAGAACAGGACTGTCATTAAGCAAGTCAAAAAGTCCCTTACATGAAAGGAATGTGGCTCAAATCTATTTTTATTAGCACGGCATATGGTAGATGTGGAGTTAGATTGACTTATCAGCTTTTATTCTAAAATTGTAGTTTATGCTTCCATGTATTTCCATTTTTGACCTTTACCCATGTTGTGTTTTGTTTGTGTATAAAATATATATATACATATAAAAAGAAACTTCATAAGGTGTAAAGAATCATAATGTCCAAAATAGAAACATAATACAATTGCAATGTTTTGTAATCGTTTTGTCATTCTATCTGTGCGGGTTATTTTAATGGTGCAGTTTCTCACCGTTCCCGAAAGTACATCAAGGAAGTAATTATAGAACACCACCAAGCCTTGAGGATTAGGATCATACTGCATACATTCCTCTGGACCTGGAACACACCACAAGAGTTAAGCTTTATGATCTCTGTATGTATTCTCAAAAATTATAGTATGTATGCAGGTTTTCCCTCCTCCCCGGAGAATGTTTAGACCAATGTAAGAGAACAGATAGATGAGCGTGAAAGCTGCAGTGATTACATTCAGGCCTGTGGTTCACTGGATGGCAGAGTCACTCAGTCTTAATCCCCACACTGTCATTTCAATAAAGCTTCCTTTCAAAGTCTTACAAAAAAAACAAAGGGTTTTATCCTATGAAATTCTCCATATGAAAAAATAGCAGACCTAGAAAATGTCTAAGAGCAAAAATGATACTTGTTATTTAATGTTGGAGAATAGGGAGTAAGTGGCTTAAATTCTTTGTTTTGTCTTAAATTCCATAATATATAATATTCCATAATATATCTTCTATTTTTGACACTTCTGTACAGCTGAAACTTAATTTCTATTATTCATATTTACATATAATTTGGGGAATATATATTGACCTTCACAGATCATATCGTTGCTGTATTTCTGCTGGGAATTCAAACGCTACATTTACCCCTATATACTGTACACCTGTTGACTGGAAAGTGATGCGTCAGTCTGAGAGATGCTTCATATTTATATTAGAAAAAAATGTGTTCGAACTTCAGGACATCAGGAATACGGGGATACAAGACCCATGAAAACCTGATAAACCACCACCTTGTATTAACCTCAAGTGAAAGTTGAGACAAACTGTATTCTGAACATGTCGTTACCAGTCGTGTTAACAAGACTGTCCCCAACAGATCTGAAGACGATGCTGGGGATGATGACAAAAACTGCGATCAGTAAAAAGGAAACAAAATTGAGCAACACCAAGAATCGCAGCAGAAGGAAATAGGACTGGACGCCCCCGCCAAAGTTCCCTGTGGAGGAAATGGCCATAATTACAAAATAGTTGTTCTAATGGAATCAAACAAAATGTATTTTTTTTTTCTGTAGGTTTAAGCTAAAAAAAAATCTCCTCTAACAAAGCCCCTTCATGTTCTGGCATGAGGAGTTAAAGGTTTACCTCCAATCTTTTGTAGCGACTTGTTCCACAGGGCAAAAATGTAGATGAATTCTCTGGCATTGTTTTTAAGTTTACGCAGATTCTTTGCCTTTTTCTGTCTCCAGGAATCCCTCTTGGAAACCACAGGGATCTGCATTTCTTTCACCTGCCTGTTATGGAAAAGCAGCACTTCAATAACTATTTATGATTATAAGAAACCATCTATTCCATGGCTCAGCTGTTTACATATAATTGCATAAAAAAGTCACATGTAATATGGTGGGTCCTAATCATAGGTAAACAAGAAGTTCTGAGTTTGTGCGTCCCTTGTACAGAGGCTGTAGTCCTCAAAGCAAGCGGCCCAGGTTCAGATCCAAACCATGGCTCCTTTACCGCATGTCATTCCCCACTCTCTCTCCCCCTAATTTCCAACTAATTTCCCCCCCCACAAAAAAAAAGATACAGTGTCTTGTTTTTACATTCCTTCTAGAGAATTGGTAAATGGACAGTTAGATATAGAAACATAAAATATACATACTGTACATGTGCAGTAAAAACAAAGACCTGCAGAAATGCTCATGTCTGCCAAGTCGTGAGTATTCTCTTCATATTTTATGGAAATATTAAATATAGTATAAATATGTGTATGATTGTATTAGTTCCCCCCACACAAAAAAATGTTTATCTTTTTACTTTATTCGGATGTTGATGATATTCACTGTGAGTTTATGAGCAGGGTTTGACATTAGACAAAGTAGTTCACATTCATCCGAGGGAGCGGAGGCTCTCTGAGCTAATTTTACGTCTGATATCATTTAAGAGTCAGACTTTAAGACATCACAGCTTGAGTATTTGTTTACATGATGTGATTCATGAATGAAAAGGACAGAATAAAACATGAAACAACACTGAGAGGCAGGTTTCATACCGTACGGCTCTCTTCAGTGCCATCGGTAGAGGGCTGCTCTTAAGGTCCCGGGACAGACCACTAGTGCCCTCCTCATCCTCCTCAGCTGGGGTTGAGCTCCAATTGAACTGGGGGTAATTCTGATTGGGCACTCGAGATGGAACCCGTCTTAACCGTAGTGACTGCTGGTCGCCTGGGTAAACAACACCTGTGAGCGGATGAGAGAAAGACAGAAGAACAGTCCAGAAAAGTATCAAGCAATGTGTGTCAAGAAAACTGACTTAATCTAACAGTGCTGTTAAATACGCACTTCACTTTAAAAATGACAAAAGGAATGTGTTTAAGTAAATGTGAGAACAGACACACCTTCATTGTCGTCGTAAACCCTCCTTGGGTCTTGTATCGGTGGGTGACTGTCCATTTCTTTAATGCGCTTCCAAAAAAGCAGCTTTTAAGACTTTTCTCTTTGAACACATCAACGATTTCACCTCAGAATTAAACGAACCAGGAGCCAGCTCTTCATGAGGAAACACTTCAGGTCCAGGAAACCGTTGTCTTCTCTCATGGACTTTACCCCCTTTCTAAATTACCTCACAGGTACTTCCTTGTTTGCTTTAACCCATTATTTACAAGGAGATGGTTGCCATGGTTCAACAAAGTGCACGGTTTAATACAAAGCGAGGAAAAGTAGCATCGAAACATGCACTAACCTTCAGTAACTTGTGCTATTAAAGGGGGCTATAAAGGTCTTTTGAGCACAATGGATGATTCAGGAACAGTTTTGGTGAGTTTTAATGACAGGCAAAGATGGCAACAAAAGAAAAAAGTAGCTTTGACATTGTGAATAAACCCTCAATGACTATTACATTCATCATGAAAGCGTTCTATACATGTTCTTGAGTGTTTAATATGAAGATTAAACTCTGTGTGGCAGTAAGTCTGCAGGTGTGTTTTCACTGATGCAGGAGAGTCAATGATTTCCCCGTCTGACACCCAGAAAGCTTCTTAACTTATTTAATCTTTGCTGCATACACAAGGTAAGTATAAAGGTCAAAATATACAAATAACTCAATGACAATCATACCAGGAAGTATTTTATAAATGAGGACACATGTGGGTTATATTTGCCAGTGTTGTTACAGAGCAGGGAGGAGTGTGTTACAGACAGTGAGGCTGGAAAACAACATGAGAAGTAAACAGGGACCAGAGTCATCACAACTTTTGCTGGAAAATAATAAAAACAGAGACAAACAGGGCTCTTTTGTGGCACTGAGAGGGTAAACAAATAATCTGTTTGCAAGTTAAATGAGATCGATAACAATATAACACAAGGAAATAAGACTTTCAGCTCAGGCAGTCACGCTCGCTTAAAGCAGTGATGCTGCCTCACAGGAGGACACAGTTGTGAAAGAAGGCCTGACAGTTTGTCCAATAATACATGGTTTACTGTGGTCAGAGCTGAGCATGATTCAACATGATCATAATGAACTTTGAGTAGAAGAATAACATGACGTTAAGTCATGAAGTTAACAACTATAGAAATGTCTTCTGCCTGAATACATCTTTCAGAGCAGTCTCACGTTTTTCTTTTAGACATCTAAGAGGTCACATGACATTGTGACAGTGTACTGTGATCATCACTCCCACTGGGGATTGTCTTTGGATCTTTTGGTTTTCTGTCAGCAAGGTTGACAGAAATACTACTGGATGGATTTACATGACATTCGGTTCAAATTTGTGTAGATGATTTCCTTGCCCAGCTCTAACTGTGCTGTTATTCATGGCCAACATTGGCAGCTTGTAGTTATGATGCAACACAGACGGCTCTTTGTTATCCAATGTTTGGTCCCAACCCTGAATGGTCCGTGATGGCAGTACAGAGAACATTTTTGGCAGTGAATGGACTTTCGCTCTTTGCGCTGTTCTATAGAGCTGACAGTGCCTATGTTTCTGGTATGATCTGATGTGCTTACAGATACAGAATAAGAGTATGTGGGGGGGGGGTAGCTGGATTCACTGGATCACAAGAGTAAGTCCTAGCAAAGAAATATTCAGGAAAAGTCAGAATGTTGCAAGAGTGGAATTGATTTAGGAAGCTAAAAACAAAACATCTGAAAAATGTTAATAGAAAAACAAAATGTCATCTGGACATCTGGATATTGAAATTGGTGGAGCACCATGATGCTTGTATATTGCATTAAGTGAACTAAAATGTGTTTGTTAAGATGATTTAACAAAAGCATTACTCTGTTTTGACCACTCATTGTAGTAAAAAAAAAACAATTTGATGATTTGAGATACTAGATGGCAGCAGAATTATTTTCACCAAAGCTTTGAAAATACTCTCACACAGGTTTTGACATCTGAACCGTAATAATGGCACATTCAACATAATCTATTCTTTCTGCCCTCCAGACTTCATACATTGTAACATTAAACTGAGTGTTTGTTGTGTAAGAAAACTAATCCAATCAAATCTCAGTAAATTGGCCCCCCTTTTCATTATTTGTACGATCATAATGAGGTTTCTTGTTGGACTGGACCTGCTATATTTTGATAATCCTCACTTTTAAACAACATAATTTTGACCTGTGTTACAGCTTTTCAACGGGAATGGAATAAATGTACACATACTGTACAGGCAGACAGAGTAGATACAGGGGAGCTCATCGACTATTTCAACCCAGGTTTTCATTCACACTATAAAAGTGACATTCATTGATCTCAAACATTCCTCTCCCAGAGGTCACAGTTTTGTTATGTATATGTACATGTAAATGAAAATGTTGACCTTTATCAGGTTTTACATTTTGTCTGATTTAATCTAATTTGAATGAACTCTAGTTGAACTTTATTTTGTGAACAAGAGATCCAAATGGACATGTGGGATGTTTTGTTGCTTGAGAGTTAAGTGTTTGTGCGATCAATGTTGGAAGTTCTTGTTTTGATGTAACTCCTCTGATATCTGAAAAATAATCTGTCTCTCCATTCAGTCGTTTTTCTCTCCAGTTGTCTCTTTCACGTTCTCTTTCTTCTCTACCTCCTTGTCCCCTCTTCTCCCTCCCTTCAGGACATTTCCGATGACTATACAGCAAACAGCGACAATGTGGATGATGAAGTAGATGGACGTCCAGTAGTTGATGGTGTCAGAGGCCTTCAGCAGCACAAAGCCCATGCACATGTAGTCGTACGCCCTCATCTTCAGGAACCATTGGACCCAGTCAAAGATGTTCTGTCCACGGGGGCCTAGTTTGACTCGGACTGAGGCTTCCATGGCAGACTCAGCTGCGATGCACAGGGGGATGGTGAGGAAGGAGAGGTAGTATCCAGCGTGGAGGCCGTGCCAGTATGCGCTGATGAACATGGTCCAACCAGCCCTGAGAGTGACAGGAGGGAAGCTGAGGTCATTCACACTGTGAGGGATTCTGATTTCTGCCAGCTGATTAAATTCAGGTAAGAAAAATAAAGATGCTGTGGCGAGATCAGGATGGGTCGCAGCTTCAGGTATTACTTTGGAATTAAGTAATTTAATGAGAACTATATAAGGTTTCTAATATACGCAGTACATGATGGTCACTAGATCAATCTGTTCAAATTCAATATTCTGATGTAAAAAAAAAGATTGACTAAAATACCAGATACCTGTGAAGAACTTTGACGTTAAAGTGCTTCAATGGTATCCTTACAGAAAATCTTTATTTCAAGACTTCAGTTTATTGGTAGATAAAGAGAATAACTGGAAAACTGCCAACATGCTAAATCAGTAGATGCTTGCTGCTACCTCACAAGATAATCACTTAAGATTTCATTTCATTGCACAGGCTTTACAGTAGTTTACGTTTAAATGCCCAAGCACAGAATAGAGATTCATGGAAATAACCAGAGCATATAGAGCCTTACCTGAGAGTGTAGGCTTTAAAGGGAGAATTGGGGTAGATGTAGTGATGCAGCCACCACTGCACTGTCATGTTCCAGTAACGCATGCCGTGCCGGACCTTCACACAGAAGTCAGTGTTATAGCAGTCGATGTTCTGGATGGTTCTGAAGTCATATTTTTCTTCAGCGGTGGGATCAGGGCTGACCAAAAAAGAAACAAAATTAGAGAATCAGAGAAAACAAACTGGCAGCAAAACTAACGTTCAACGACACCCAACAGAGCAAGACATCAGTGAGCAATAACTGATGCATCCTCGTTGAATAACTTGTTATTCAGGTGATTATGTACCTGTAGATGACAGTGGGTCCTCCTCCAGGTTTGGACAGAGCTTTCTCTGGATAGCAGCCCAGACCTGCACTGATACAGCCAGCTTCAGCTCCACACCAGGCTGCATAGAAACGCATTCGGAACACGAAGAACACAGCTGTCATGTAGAACAACCTGCGGATACAGAGAGAGGAAAATTAAACCTGTCATCTCTAGATTACAAAACAACTGCAGAGATATTGTTAATACGAAGACTTAAGTAAAACTGGGTCCTCCACAGTCGTAACTTTAAGCAACAGAATCCTTTATTGACTTAGACCTAAACCGAAGAAATGTAAGTAGAGCCATGTTGTACAATAAGCAAACAGAGCCTAATAACAGAGCGCCTGAACAATTTAGGAAACATTCCGAAATGGTAGTTAAATGTTTTAAAGAAATACATCTGACAAAAACCAGTATTTCATTATCAGTGTGTAGTTTCTAAGACCCTAAAATGTCTCATCTACGTTTTGGTCAATGAACAGCTTGAAAAAAAGTGAAAGCAATTAATAGAAATCTGTAATATATATTTAAAAAAAACATCCCAGTGTCCTTGTGAAAAAGACAATTTAACACTTGCAAAAAATAAGTCAGTTATTGTGCTTTATTTTTACACTTGAATCTCATGTTCAGGTTTTTATCATTCTAAAAACACATTATAAATACATCTTATTTGAATGATAATAACATAAATAATCTACAACTCCTACACCTGGTATTGCTATGTTATTAAAAGACAGTTTCAGGGCTGTCATGAATTGTGAAAGTACCTAAAGAAAAAGTTCTGATCCAGGAATTCCTCTGACCGAACGTAGGCCAGAGGAAAGACCGAGTTTACAGCCAGGAACAGAGCGCCGTAGACAGGAACCAGCTTCAGACGCTGTAGGCACGGCAACCAGCCGGGCAGGGTCTGCGGGCTTGGCTGCCTCAGCCAGTCGGCGTACGTTTGGAAGCGAAAGAAGGGACCTTAAGGGACACGGAGGGATGAGATAAAGGAATAAAGGCAGCGTTGAGAAGATGTTGTTGATCGACAAAAAATGTAAAATGGGGATAATGCAAGACAAGAGTTGGACCAGTGGAGGGCAGTGTGGTTTAATGAAGAGAAGGTGGGAGAGGGGAGTAAGAAAGACAAAAAGAGAAGTATGAACAAAAACAGAAGTGGTGATACTGAAAACGATATGGACTCACACAATATTGGACAAGTAGCGGTGAGCAAGACAAGAGAGACAACAGTTAAAATTCATGCAAAAGCAAATAAACAACAACAACACACATGAACATAAACAGACCAGACTCTGCAAAGTGTCACATGTTCCCACAGACTTACCGGTCATTATACCAACATAACAGTAGCTATAAGACAGAATATCGTAGAAAGAGGGCTCCTCAGTCAGACCAATGATGACAGAGGACTTGGCAAAGGAGCTCACTTCCTTTTTCTTCTCCACGTGGAAGCTGCGCACCTCGTTTGCCAGACTCACCATCTAGTTTAAAAGTCCGAAAACAGACATCAGAAGTTCACAAAGATGCCCAGGATGTGAGGATGATGAGTGTTACTGTGATAGTTGTATCCACTGAGTAGGCTGCTGTACCTTGAGAGTGAGGAGAAGCTGGACGGCGTTGGCAAAAGGTGTCGGAGGTGGCAGCCCGAACCAAGTGACCAGCCGGAAGAAGAGGAGGTAGAGAAAGGTCCAGCTGAGACTGAGAGCTGGTGCATGCCTGGTATCAAGAGGCAAACGTTATTAGTAAGTTAACATTACAATTATAACACAAAAATATCTGGTTCCCTGTTCTTGTTTTTAGTTTTCTTTGTAAAATGTATTGGAACATTAAAAATGTTTTTTGAATTGTTTGTATGACAACATAAGCAGTTCATCAGGCTTCAAGAGAGACATTTCTTTTCATTTGTTTAATTATAAATAAATGACTTTACATGCTGCCAGAATGAATCAATGCAGATAGTTACTATTGGCACGCACACTGGTCTGACATTTGAAGTGACACTAAATGTTATCCATGTTTGTCTCTCACCGCCAGCTGCTCTTTATAATAATCCATGTTCCAATCACTGTCAGCAAGGAGTGGAGTGTGTGGATGTTACAGGTGGCGATAGTGATGGAGAGGCCCAGAAGAAGAGCTGCTCCCTGCTTCACAGGAGGACCTGAAGTGAAAGTAAGAAGATTCAGTCATCAGTTCAACAAACTTCAAACACAAGATCAATGGGCTCGGAAAAAAAGTATGAAGTGTCATAAAATCTGTAAGATTCTCTCACAAGCAGCACTGAAAATTTTTACAACTGTAAAAAAAAATGTTTCTGCAATAAGTAACGCGGTTTGAGGGGGAACTCATTCAAATCTGTTTACAGGTCTTGGAAAGAATTCCTGTCTTTGTGATAAAGTTGTATAAAGCTTTTTGTGGCCCAAAACACAGCTTTTTTTTCAACAGAGGTTGTTGCTGAAGACAACTTTGAAAATCAAACGTCTTTTATCATTTAAATATAATTAATAACCAGAAGTTAAAGCCACAGTAAAGTACACTTGTTCTCGTTATCTTTAGTCATGTGATAATTGTTTTTTAAATCCAAGTCTGGCAAAGAAAAAGAACACACAGATTTGAATTTCCCTCAGGATCAATAAAGTATCTATCTATCTATCTATCTATCTATCTATCGTAATATGCAGTGACATCTAAAAAGACACAAATATTGTTCTTAGATGATTTTTGTTTTTGTTCAATGTTCCACCTTCTTCACATTTTCTTCTTATTTATACTCCACACAGAGATCTGGCAATGCTCCCTTACATATCTAACTGTATGTTTTCAAACAATAATTCAGGCCCAAAAATGACAGTCAGGGTCAAAATAGCAAGAACATTAGATATCAAAAAGAGAAATGTTTATAAAACAAAATCCAGACAAGCTGAAGCCTGAAAACACAGTAAGACAAGTTCACCGTTTACTGAGAGGCGTGCATAAGGTTGAGATGCATGAAAGCTACTCGCTTGAAAAACGAGTAAAGATTCACTTTAATTTGAAGGTCTCTCCTCATACATGGGATTAATCATCACTAATCTGTAATAAGAGTCTATGGAGCAGATGCTACTCAGCCGACCTCCAGCCTCTTTATAGCTGCAAAGAACACGAGGCTTCCCTTTAAAGAAACAGTCCAGTCAGGTTTCCTAGCAGGATAGGCAACATTTCTGTTCACGAGCAGGTCCCGGTTTTTGATAATTACTTACAAGTCCAACAATGCAAAAGAGAAATATCATGTTACAGGTTACATGTTGAGGTTATTATATTTCAGCTTTGGTAAATATTGAAATAAAAAAAACACACATTGCTCATATTCAAATCATACATGTCTGTTATTTGGGTTCAAAGTGTAACCTGAAAAAAATACTCACTGAGGTATCGGAAGAGGAACCCAACAGGGATGGAAGCAGCGAGGACTCCCAAGTACACCAGCTCATCAGGAGACATCGCTCTGCTGACACAGAAACCCTGCTCAGATCTGAACAGTCTCTTATTGAACAACTTCAGGGTTACAATAGGGAAAAAAAAAATCATGATTAGACATCCCATAATAATAGTTAATCACAATATAATATCATTGATGATGATGATGGTTTCTATACTGATTAGAGCGCTCAAGAACTGCCGTCAATGTTGTGCTTTGCCTCTGGTCACTTCCTGTCAGCACCTGTGTGTCCAATCAGACTCAAAGCTGATCGTTTGCTCTTACTCACATTGTTTCCTTTTTTCTAGATCCTTGCTTGTGTTGTACTTACTCTCTGATGTACTTCGCTGCAGAATTGTAGGTTTTGGAGTTGTTGGTTATTGCTTGTACTATATAAAACACGAAAAGGTCAAGTATAATATAATTATAAAAGCATGACTAAGTGCAAATAGACCACCAAGGATTGCCTATTAAAATACAAAGAAATGGTGCCATCAGGTCCATGTGATAGTTTTATTTTGTTTGACCCTTTTTTTTTCTCAGTATTGACATCAGTCATTCATTTTGAAGTGTTTCTTGATAGATTTCTCCTATTACTATTGTATTTCACTTCATTATGAACAAATAGTTATGGTGTTGTCTGCTTGTTTAAAGTGGGATATATCTTAATGTCATAACCTGGGGTTGGCAACAGTACAGGAAGCACAGCTCAAGGAAGATGAAAACCTGTCTACAGTCACCCTGTTGCATTTCAAAAAAAAAAACTTCCCCAATGACTGAGTTTAAGTGTCAACATGAGGAAACAACAACAACGTAACCTCACTTTGATGATACTCCGTTTTATTTGGTGTGGCAGATTTCACGGAGCGAGGTCACAACGTGCTACACAAAACATTAAACACAACTGATGTGAAATCATGAAAATGATCACAAGTTAAAGCTCTACATTCATTCGGAAGCTGTGGATGGAAGAGGCAGGGTTTAAAACCACTGATCGTCCAAACTTCCCATCATTAAACTCATCTGCTGCCACATTAGACGAGCGATAAACTAACGAGCACAACTTTGAACAGGATTTTAATTACTTACTTCGATTACGTGGATTTCACAACTACGCGGTCTCTGGCACAGCTCTGCACACCCATGTACCTATTGATTCACACAGCTGATACCATGTTAGCACAAGCTGCTTACTTCCTGGTTAATGACGAACACGTGTGGTGACGCCTCCTTGCGGAATTGGACTGTACCACTCAAGCAGAAGGGGGCGTGGACTGTGCCATGTTGACTTCCCAAATATGTGTGCGCCACAAGTTTCATGTCTTGGCCTGTTCTTCTGAGTAGAGGCAGATGTTTAGAGTTTTATTGGTATTTTTTTTATGCACACTTTCTTACCAGACGCCACAAGTTTTGGTTAATCAAGCTGTTTTAATAGGTTATATATGAAGTTTGTAATTTTACCAAGACTGAAACAACTTAATACTTCATGCATATTCCCATTTCTTGAATATAAAACTGTTGCAACTTTCTAGATACACTTCATTAGAAGAAAACAAAGACTCAAGTTATTTGGTCTGACCCAACATTTTTATTGAAACATTCGATAGAACAGGAAGCATTACACAACACTGCCCTACAAAACATCCTTCTTAATCCTCCTCCTCGTCGTCAGCTCCTCCAGCTCCACCCTGGCCCTTCTTGGCGTTCTTTCTCTTCACACGGCCTGGGCGTCCACCGCCGTATGGAGACCTCAGGGAGAAGTCAATGTGTTTCTGGCTGTCCAGGCGAACCACAAAGGATGGGATGTTCACAACCTGTTTACGCACACTGCAGAGGGAGACAAACAATGAGGGCAGGGACTAACACCTTTAATGACTTTTGTAATTTCATAGTTCAGAAATTCTACTGGATAATTTTTTTTGGGAGGATAAAATTATTTAGTTTTAATATGTGCATTAAGTTTCCCTCCATTAATTACTGCAGGCTTCATTGACGAGGAATTCTTGACACCACAGAAAATCTGAATGTATAGAAAGTTAAATCATCAGCCTCAGTTTCACCACATCGTAACACACTGGAATAAAACTACACATTATAATTGCCCGAGGTGCAATCCCCCATACCTTACCAGACAGCCACAACACCACAGTGGCACAGTCCAAGCCCTCAGCGGCAGGATTGGCTCTGGGCAATGTCTACTGACAAGGTATACGGTTTTGATACCGAATTGACCTTGCTGATAATTGATTTCAGCGGGGCTCATTACAAGCTGATGGTCCTCTGATGGAAGAGGAAGCATTGAGAGATTCTCATGAGTCCCTCTGGAAACATAGGCCCCTCCCCTTGATCACATTTTTCTTTTCCAGGAGCACTAGAGCTTACCGAATGTGCCTCTGACGGATAAGAACTCTGGCATGGTGGATGCTCTTGGCAAGTCCAAGCTTGAAGACTTGCGTTTGCAGCCTCCTCTCCAAGAAATCTTCAACCTTCAGACCCAGGATGTAATCGAGCTTCATCTTACCCTCGTCCAGCACACCGATCCTCACCAGACGCCTGAGCAAAGCATTACCTGGCAAATCAGACACGCTTGTTACAAACCTTAAGAATACCGCAGCAGAGTGTGAGGAAAAGTTACAATATTGGCCTCATTGACGAGGAATTCTTGACACCATGTGGAAGTCTGACAAGTTGATATTTAAATCATCGGCCAATGCACCCGTTAACATTTTAACTTCTTATAGTTACCTTCAAACAGACGCTTAGGGTCCTTCTCGTCCAGAGTGAGCAGCTCTCTGGCAGCTTTGCGGATCTTGGCAAGGGTGAACTTGACCCTCCACACCTCACGCTTGTTCCTCAGTCCATACTCGCCTTTAAAGCAGAAAAAACAGAAGGAAAGTTTAGTCTCATTGTTGGCCATTAGAAAATAGAAATACTGCTTTTTAAAGCATCAACTTGACTTTAAAAAAGAAAAAAAAAAAATCACAGCATACCAATGAGTTTCAACTCCTGGTCGAGACGGGACTTCTCAAAGGGGCGACGGGGGGTGACATATGTCTTACGACAAACCCAACTCCTGGCAACGGGCATGGCGGCTTAGATGTGCCTGCAACATCAGATAAAGTTTGTTAGTAGAAGGTCATAAAAAAACATTACGGGGAAATATGACAAACAATTTGCAGGTAACTGCTGTTTCACTATGGTTTCTATTGAGTCAGGTTTATAATACCTTCTCACATCAATTAATTAGATTTTACCAAAACTAAAGTACCATATATAGTCACTTCATAACTACCTGAAAGTAAAGAACTAAAACAACTTCGGTTAAGACTGCTTTAAACTTGTATCAATTTCTATTTAATAACACAAAACTATCAGCCTCATCCCATTTCACTGAGATTATTTGAGGTGGCGTGATAAGAAACATCTTCTGTGATCTATCACATGCACATTACATCGACCCGCGTTAATACACAGATATAAATGAGACAAGTCAAAAGTAATTTCAAAACACAGCGAGTCAAAACGCTTTGGTTTCATCGGCATCTTCAAAGCATTACGACGAGGCCGCAGCGGTGCACCACGTTGCTTAGCCGAATTAGCTTCCCACTCAAAAACAAAACGACGTGTTACGTTAATAACAGACTTTTGCCCATAAACAGTCTTCTACTTTCAAATCCTGTTAAAAGTTGTTGCATTTAAAGTCACAAACGCTGTTTTGTTCTGTTAACATATAGCACAAGGTTCGTTACCGTACCTGTCTTGCTCAGGCTCGCGCAGTAAAGAGGACGAGAAAGGAAGTTCACGTCAACTTATAGGTCCCACGTATGCACTACATGTCCCATCATGCACCGTAAACGGAAGTGATGATGTTCATTTTGTCGCTCTCTGTTGGTCAAACAGTTAACAACAGCTAAAAAATCACTGAACATAATATAAGTGCGTTTTCTTGTTAACAATGTCATCAGCATTATATAAATATTATGCATGTCGATTGGATAAATCTTCTCCAGTGTGGAATGCACTAAAATTAATTAATTAAATTAAATTATTAATTATTATTATTGCTGAACAAATGTTTAAAAAAAGGTTGAAAGTACCCATGCTGAAAAACTATGTATTCTACACTTATGCATGATTATTACCTGTATCCCTTTTTCTGTATCATTATTTTTCCCTACCTTTTCCCGGTTGGATTTTCTTCTTCTTGATAGCCAACAGGTTTTTAAATCCTTTGTGTGATTTCTGATGTTTATCAACCTCGCCTCGATATTGTACCAGTTTGATTATTTTATACATACATTACATGTTACAAATACAGTTTAAAAATAAAATAAGCATGTGTTACTCCTCTCCTGTTGATGTGTTCATTAACTTTATTTGACTAATTTAAGATATACACTGGACAGTCCTTGACAGCAAAGAGTAAGCGAGTTTGCCTAATACATAACTTCCTTGGCAGGTAGCTACATTTATTAATGCTATTATATAATCAGACAGTGGTTTAAACAGCAAACATTGCCTCATGCATGACTTAAACAACTTTTGAGATGAGATGAGATGAGATTCAACTTTATTGTCATTACAATTACAAGTATAGAGTAACGAAATGAGGTTTGGCATCTCACCAGAAGTGCAAATAAGCAGAAAGTGCAAGAGTCTGTGCTATGTACAGTAATTACAAAATTTACAGATGTAGACTAAAAAAAAGTGAATTATTAGGTATATATGGCTGGATTAATGGGATGCTATAAATATAAATAAATGTTATAAATATAAGTGTATTCTTAGGATTATAATATACAGATTAAGGTGCAGTGAGCATGCTATACAAGTTTACAGATAATATAAAGAATATGGACATAAAGTGTGTATGATAAATATGGTTCATGTTTTCATATATATAAAGTCAATAGAAGACTATGGTTCAAAAGGAGTAAAATGGTCTGTATTACATTATGTTTTTTAACACTGAGGTCCAGTTGAATAGGTTGTTGTTGTTGTTGTACAAGTATGTTACAAGTAGTGAGAAGTCTTGCATGTCAAAGAGTAAGGGTGGTAAGGTGGTAAACTCAGAGAGAAGGACATGGGTGACTATTTATATAACTCTGAAATGGGACCCTGTGAGCATGTGTTTCTGTCTGTCAGGCTGCATGATCAACTGATGGACCAACAGACGCTCACTTGCTTTCTGTTTCATTGCTCTTTATCCTGTCTTTTCTGGACAGGATCTCCCTTGTTTTGTGGACTTTCTTTGTGTTTTTTTCTTTGACCCATCTGCAAGCCCATAGAGGCCTAAAAAACGTCCTTCTATTCAACCTCTTGGATCATCTGTTCTCTCCTGCTGGGATTTTTTTTCCAGATTTTTCTCTCTCTATTTTCCTAACCTAACTGCCTCTCCCGTTTGCTTATCAACCTGTGATTTTCCTTTTCCTCCTATCCCCGACGTTTCTTGTCTACCCGTGCGTGGTGTTTGGGCCATGCTCTCCTCACCCACTGTGATTCTCCAGCCTTATGGACTCCCTGTCTACCCACAGACAACCACATGCTACCCAAGCATAGTTCAGGTAAACTATCACCCTTTTCCCCCCAAAACTCAAGAATCTCTCTTCTTATCAATCATTTTGATCAACTCATTCTGTCAGCCCTACACTTACTTACTGTTATAAATCATTTGTTTTTGGTGTAGCACATAAACCATCCCAAAAACTTGCTCGCTGATGGCTATAACAAAGCTCTAGATGTAACAGAGAACAAAATTATTTTCTTAATTTAATGAGTCACATCTTACATCTTGTTTAGGATAGCGATGTCTTGTTTGTAAGAAACTTAAATCTTATGCAGAGAAAAAAAAATGAAGGAGTCACAACAAGGACTGTGGTGAAGTACATAGATTGCGAAAGTTGTAATTTATTTCAAAGTAAGGACACATTAGTGGTTATCTTTAGTCCACTTGTGTCAGTGATGCCAGCAGGCAGTACGCATGTGTGTGTGTGTGTGTGTGTGTGTAAGTGTCCCTGACATACCCTCAATGCCACAGTGCATCTGGTATCTGTCTACCTTGTCTCTGTGCTTCACACCAGCTGTATTTTTAGCCCTCCTTTCCTGAGCAGATAATCTATCACCTATCTTGTTGCCTGCAGTGAACTCTACTTAAAATAGGTGTGAAACTTGCGGGTTTGTATTTCAATTCTAACTATTACAGCTTTTTGAGTATGTTGTTCACATCTCTTTGGTTATTACAGAATATTCGGAGACTGAGAGCAAACAGATGTAGAAATATTGTAGCTGATGTTTGGAGGTGATTTAAGCAACAGCAAAAAAAAATGAGTTTCAAACCCAAAGGAAGACATGTTGTCAAATGCTTAATTGTTTTTCTACTTTAAAATGTTACTTCTAATAGTACTGTGAAATTATTCAGGGTGATTTCCCACAGAATTTCTGTATGATTGAAGATCAGCATCTGTTTGAAGAGTAATGATTTGTTACAGGTCAGCCTCTGCATTCTGTCTCTCGCGTCTGTACTGTTCTTATAATTGCCTGACAAAAGGCAAACATGTGCAGTTCCAAATATCATTACAGGAACCTGATTAAAAAAAAAGAAGAAAGTAAAGAGAATATTTGGTGCGTTGTGTGTGTGTGTGTGTGTGTGTGTGTGTGTGTGTGTGTGTTGGCTAACATTTGTGACTCTGTCAGCAGCACTCAAAGGCCACATCTGCAGTAAAAGTTGCTGTCTGTGTGTGTAAATCCTGTGGCAGCTGTCCCAGCAGGCACCTGGCTCAGAGCTGTTGACCTCTGCCCCTGAGATGACAGCTGAGGAAGGAGACCAGAGAAAAATGGGAACAAATGGATATTTAAAAAAAAGCCTGCAAGGAGGAGCATGGGGACACAGAGTCTGTGCGCCTGCTGACGCTGTGATACTGAATCAGGCAGAGCTGCTGGTATAGTTAAAGTTTGTGGTAATGTAAAGCAGGAGATTGTGTTATCTTCATTATATATCCCTTTATTATCTGTCAGGATACAATACAGGCATGTTGATTTGATATGTATAGATAACTGTTAGCATGACACTGTTGCAAACGTTGCAGTTAGTGACTGAGACTTAGTGAAAAGTCTCACAATCACATTATCACTACAGCTTCATACAAATAGGTCCAGACTGAGAAAGAATAACAACAACAAACAAAACATGCTTCTGTGTAAAATACATTCATGTAAATTCCCAGTAAGGAACAAAGGAAACACTTTATAATCTCACTACTGCCACGGCTCAAAGGGACGGCAATCTCAGAAAACAGATCGGTTCACCACTTTGATTTAGATTGCTGCGAAATTATTTAGAAATGTATCCGGTCTCCAGAAGAAGATGAAGTTCTTCCTTCTCTTATGAACTGTTATAGACCGAGACATAGATTTACTTTATTGATCCCAAACTGTGAAATTGTGAAAAGGAAATGCTTGTTTATGCTCTTTTCTCAACAACTTCTGGAATGGTTTGTTACACATTTGATAAAAGGTTCACGTCTCCTTCAGGATGAGTTGTAGTACTTTCGGGACCCCTTGACTCTTCATGAAGCATCATCATCATCATCAGGTCAAAATACTTTCTTTGACAAACAAAAACAGGAAAAACTAGCCTCGCTTACCTTGAGTAGTGTGCTAATATGAAAATTAGCAAACAAACATGCTAAACGCAGATCGTTTATGCTCAAAGTGATTCCTAAATAGCATTAGAATTTTATATTATAGTGAAAATGTGAGCATTGTATTTTATTTAATGAGTTAGCAAACCAGAACAAACAAGGACAATGATATAAGAAAGAGCAAACACATAGCTGTAGTGCAGTCTATCCCTTCCAGGTTCTGTGATTGGCCTATACATAGTTGGATCCTAAACATTAACTGTAAATAATCTGTGGTGTATTATTTCCCTTGACATCTTTCCAATCTGATAATTACTCAAAAGAAACAACGACAACTTTTTTTTAATGCAATGAAACCCTTTAAGGTAGAGACTGAAGTGTGCTGGGTTTGAGAACTTGACCCACTATCATCATCCTTTACTCCAATTCCTTCCTAATTATAAGATCTGCAATCTACATCTCTCTAATTTTGCACCTCTTAGTGCAGCAGCTGAGTTATAATTAAAGTAGATCCTTCTAAATCCTAAAGTTGGGTGACAAACTCGTGGCATCTTGCTCACATGGCAACGCATGTACATATATTTATCAGTCTGTTAGGATACAGTGATGGAGGAACTCCTTTAAGCCTTTGATTAAGTGAAACAGAGAACAATGGGATATGAATAAATGCAACAGAATTAAAGGAATACTTTGTTAACACACTGAGTGGTCCCAGCTGCCAGTTTTCTTATCTTTGTTAACGTAGAGTCTCTAAAGAGGGGGAGACTGCTCGCAAGGTTCAAGCAAAGATAACAAAATAGACCAATCTCAGCTGTAAGCTCACTTATAGTTATTTTTAAACATTTTGTTCATTTTATCAGTGGAAGAAGAAAAGTGTCAAGACTGCCAGCTATTCCATCTTATCTTTAGTCTTTATGCTAAAATAATCCTGCTGGCTATAGCGTTATACATATCTACTGTATTTAGAGTTTTAATTACCATACTATTAATGTTCCAGACTGATTTTGACTTTAAAGTGTCGGGGAATTCTTTCTTTAAATAATGTTTTACAGGTATATGATCATTAGTATTGTCTTAACTTCAACAATATACTGGAAAATTAACACAAGGACCATTTTAAGTGTTTAACTTCACTGGTTCTTTCTCAGGTGTCACGCATAACAGAACAGAAACGACAATTGAGTATTATATAGGAATTATAAATTCACCAAGTCAACGAAGCATATTCCACATAGGGGGAATCGTTTAGATATATTGATTGAAAAATGTTCCAGTAAAAGTAATAAAACCAAGCTGGCCTCTCAAAGTGATATTCTTAGAGTCGACCTTTAGCTTGATGTACTGACTGGCAACTGAAGGAGCATTTACATTAAAAATACCTCATCTGGAGGGCAGAGCTCTGTCTGCCATCTGCACTGAGAGGGAGTGTGTGTGTGTGTGTGTGTGTGTGTGTGTGTATTTGCGTGTTTGTGTGTGTGTGCGTGTGTTTGTGTGTGTGTGTGTGTATGTGTGTTTGTTTGTGTGTGTGTGTGTGTGTGTTTGCGTGTGTGTGTGTGTGTGTGTGTGTGTGTGTGTGTGTGTGTGTGTGTGTGTCTGTGTGTGTGTGTGTGTGTTTGCGTGTGTGTGTGTCTGTGTGTGTGTGTGTGTGTGTGTGTGTGTGTGTTTAAAGTGAAGGCAGTTACTGTGATTGACAGTTACAGATGACCACAGCTGGTGTGCCCCCCCCCTTCCTGGTCTTTTGGAAGTGGTAAGTGGCAATCATTTGATGTGATTGGTGGATGAGTAGAACTTATGGTGCAGTAGGCGGGTGGTCAGCTGGCATTAAAACATGCTGCAGTTGTTGGACAATGCAGCAGAGATCGAGGAATGCAGTGAAGGGGTGAGACAATGCTTTGGCTTCTAACTTTTGAAATCACTTGTTTAGAGTTGTTGTTCACTTCTGTTTCTGTGCTGTTGAGATCTCTCTTTTTCTCAACATGAATATTTCTCCGCTCTGCCCTTCTGTTTCTAACTTTAATCTTGTTTTTGTGAGGTGATTTTGACGGAATTCAGGCTTTATGTTAGAGATGTTTTCACGCGTCTCAGTCTCAGTCTCAGTCACAGTCATTCATAGAGTTAGAGGGCTGTAACATCACATTTAATCTCATCGTTTATTGCTCTCTGTTGTACATCTATAAATGTTAAAATTCCCTGTCTCTTTGGTCCAACTTATTTTAACTAAGATATGAAACATAAACAATAAATTATTTGGCAACTTTTGTTGATTTACTAAATGATTGATCAAGTGTTTCAGCTTTATTGTTAGTTGCATTGGTAAGAAAAGTTCTAACATTACCACAGTGCAGGAATGCTCTGTTACCAGTAAAACTCAAGTTTTTCAAATTTCACATCAAGTCCTCATTTTATAGAACAGCAACGCACCATGTTTTATATTAATGGATTTTAGTTCCTGATGCAGCAAAATAACTTTAACACTAAAGGTAGAGCAATTTGTTTGATGTTTTTAATGTTCTGTTCATTTCCGTTTGGGATGTTAACCAATAAAGTGACCTTATAATATATCTGCTGATTATATGTTGCATTATATAATTATTTATGTTTTTAGACAAAAAAATTAGAAGTAAATATTAGATATTTGGAGAATAAATAATAATAATAATAATAATAATAATAATAAATGTAATGAATGTAAGTGGTTTACAGGCTATATATGTGAATATCTGGATATATGGGAGTATATGGGGGCTGGTGTTTTTCTTCTTCACGCCGCTTTTCAGACTGTTCATCAAACATAACTTGTTGTTTGACAATGTCTTACATAGGAGTGACATACTTCTCTTTTCCTCTTTTTGCCAAAGGTATTTTTTTCTTTCTGTCTGTCTGCAGGTTCATTTTTGTCTTTATTTTACGTTTTTGAAATAAAAAAATGAAATCAATTTTATCTGCAGATTAATCAAACATATCAAACAAATGGAGTTAAATGTGCAACTTTTGCCATTGCGATTGTTGTAGAAGAAGTGTAGAGTTGTGGAAATACTCAGGCAAAGAAGGAGGAGTAGGAGGGATCATTAAAAGAGCTGTAACACTTTACAATATGTGAGAAATTTTACATCACATCATGAAATATTCATGCTAAATCACAACACTTCATTATAGCTCGAAGGACACCCACACTGTGGTTATTTTGTTACCCCCCTGACATCTGATACCTTGTTCGCCATCAGGGGCTGATTCCTCCCTCTGTCTCTCTCCTCATCAGGGAGGCCCCACACAGGAGGCCGGCCCCGGCAGCGGTGACCCCACCCTGCAACAGGTCTACGCACCTCCCCCTTCCTACCCTCCTCCAGGTCAAGGCCCGCCAACATCTGCAGGCAGACTGCCACCTCTTGACTTCAGCTCTGTACATGCCGGTTCAGAGTATCCTGAACATCCTCAGCTCAGAATCTATCAGGGCCCTCAGCACGACGGGGCAGAGGCTCTAACATCCAGTAACACGGTAAGAACAAAATCTTGCCCCAGTTAAATGTGATCTTCTCAAAGTTAATGTGACAGAAGCCTTGCTGCCACAGGTAGTACATGTCCTATCAGAGGAACATGGGCAGATAGAGTTTCCATCTATATTTAGAGTCCACTTCAACTGTGCTGTCCATGTACGGGAATGCAGCTCACACCACAGCAAACTGGGGGGGGGGGGGGGCAGCTGAGAGGGGATTTGTTGATGAAAATAAAGCCCTACTTTCCTTCGCCCATGTGTCTTATTTAGATAACAATAAAACAGATCACCTTTCAAGATTGTTGCTGTGCAGTCAGTGTTAGGTCTATATTGACAGTGTGAAGTCAAAAGGAAAATAAACAAAATAACATACACTTTGTGCGCCATGTTTTTGTGGTTCGTGTTGAGGAAAAATAACATACAGTATATATGTAATGAACAAATTAATTATTCTGATTTTAGATTAAAAAAATGTATCCACTGATCTGTTATGTGTATCGTCTAGAATAAGTTTAAACATCCACCAGCACAGTGATATTATTTCAACCTGTTTTCCATAAGAAATAATCTCCAAATGTCTTCTTTAAAAAACAGCATTATGTTTGATATTCAACCAGGCTTAAACAGCTCACTTTTGCTCATTTCTGCTTTCAGAAAGAAGTCTGAACAACTTCTTGATGGATGGTTGAAAAATGTTTAAAGATACTCAATGTCCACAGAGAATTCAAAAAAACATCTTGTAATCCTCTGACTTCTTCTGGGGCGATATGATCAGCAGAAGAGTTGGTCAAAAAATAAATCTCAGCATGCTAACACATAAAGCTAAGATTAAGTGTGCTGTCAGTGACGGTTCTAGACCACTTTCACTGATGGGGCCAAACTGGGGCCAGTTGATCGCTTTAAAAAAATATATATATCATGCTATATCATGGGGGCTCTTCCTTTTGGAGGGGTGGCCACAGGGGGGACTAAGCTCAGTGTTACAGGGGCACTGGCCCCTGTTGGCCCCTGCCTAGTATCACACATGTGTGCTGTAATGTAGAATAGACTTAGATTTAGCATGTTGAAACTCTCACAAGATAATCTTACATTTTATATGTTAAAAATGGCAAACTGTTTTATGTTAAATATGTTACTTGTTTATAGTCAACAGTAACATTTTCATTGTGACCATGGTATTGTGTTTATTTTTATTTATTTTATTATGTGATTGCATTCGGAAACAGGTTGAAATAGTCTTATCATCAGAAATATATTTGCTAGGGAAACAAAAAGACAGAAGAAAGCCTTGATATATTTTTGCAGTGTTTAAAAGTATAACAAACAAATCAAATAACCTTCAAGCATGAAAATGTCCACTATGACGAGGTCGGAGGGTTTAGTTTGATCTTTGTGGCAGGCTTGTGGTCCTGCTGCTATACATCACTTTACATCCTCTTATAAATGGTGTTTTGTGGCCCCATCTATATATTTTATTACTAGAGCCCCTGACATACTTGGGTCTGCGCTGATTTTCGTGTGAGGAAAGTTGAGACGCCGCCATGGAGGGAGGGGGTCAAAGGGGGAGGCTGACCAGATGACCCCCTTTCCCCCTCTGAAATATCGCTCAGGTCCAGAAACATTATTCTGCATCGTGAAATGAAACCACCCCCCCAACTCAACCCTTTCTCCCTGTCACCCCTCCCCTGTGGCCTGTCTGTGGTGTGTGTTTGGGTGGACAGTCTGCTGTCTACTATATAGTGAGCTATGGCAAACCAGTGTAGTGTGATCCAGTGGCCTGTGTGAGTTTATGCGTGTAAATTACTCCCCTGAGTGAATGTGTCTCTTTTTCTGTCTATTCCCAACTCATTAATTATGCCCCTTGACAAACGACCTTTAACCCTTGGCAGAAAAGCAGCACCGTGACCCCAGACTGACACTTTTGAAATGTTCAGTTTAAACTCTGCCTTCTTTGCCTTCCTCCCCATCACCCTTTTCAAGCTTTTTGCGCACCTTCTTTGCATTGTTCACTTTCATTTAATTTGACCCTTTACTGCTGCACCGAGGCCCAAAAATCTGCCTCTTGGTAGAACACTTATAATCTTACGTCTTTGAGTCTTTACCTCTGCATACAAAACTACAACTTTCTTTCACATGTCAGCGTTTTTCCAGTACTTTTTCTTTGCTTTCTTTTTTCTTTCCAATGCACTCTGCTCCTTTTCTTGCTCTCACTGCTGTATTTTTTTCTTTGCAGACCTTTTCACTCTTTTCTTCTTGTTTGGACTTATTCATCTGTCTAAAAAAACGTGTCTTTAACAAAAAAAAATTCTTGCAATGGTTGAACAACATATCCATGCACATACATGTGCACACACTAGCATCGTGGTGCATTGTGGGAGAGTGAATGTTTTGGTTTTGGCACATTAGGTCTTGGTTCTTTTCTGCATGGGCACATTTTAATGAGTTAAATATGACGGGAGTTTAATGTGTATTTACAGAATATTACAGCTGCTTATATAACATGAGTAATCATAAGACAATATAAACACAATATTTCTTGTCTCTTGAGAGGAGATAAAAAACTACATGACTTTTAATTGCAACAGCTTGATTAAAGTAGTTTTAGAGGCAGATTCATTAATATTTATTGTGATTAAAGTGCCTGAGAGGAATCACATGGTTGCTGAATGCTCTTTGGTTTGAATCACTTTACTTTATGAAAATGATCTTTGCCTAATGACGTGATGCTAAGCAACTGAACTATTACAGACATGAAATGATTATCAGAAGGTGCTGAATTTTATTTCTGAATTCACTTTGATTTTCCTTCTTTCTCTCTTTTCTTTCCTACTGATGCCCTCTCCCTGTTTTTTTTTATCTTCACACCTACTCTATTCACTCATACTTTTCTTTTTCCATCCTTTTTGTTCCATCTTTCTGTTTTTGTTTGTTCTTTCACGTCCACTTCCTTTTCGTCCATTCCTCTTCCATCCACATCATGCATGCCTCCTCTCCTCTTCCTCCTTCTGTTTTCATACTTTATTACTGTCAGGAGGATGCTTTGGCCACTGTGACCTCTGACCCCCAGTCTTTGAGCATATCGGTGTCATCAGGGGGCGGAGCAGGAAGTGGAAGTGATGAGGAGGGGTCAGGTAAAGCCCAGCCAAAACGCCTCCACGTCTCCAACATCCCCTTTCGCTTCAGAGACCCAGACCTCCGCCAGATGTTTGGGGTATAAAATTCTCACCATCTTTCTGCATAACAATGCATTAACATTGCTGTTGTCAATGTGAGTAAACTAAACTGAGAAAATTACATTCGACTGAGCTACTTTTTCTGACATTTTCAGCAATTTGGAAAAATCCTTGATGTGGAAATAATTTTCAATGAGAGGGGTTCAAAGGTGAGCATCACAGAAAACTGACAAGAGTAGAGCAATACAATTTAAAAACAGAACAAAGAGTAAGACTGTGTGATCCTGCAGGGTTTCGGGTTTGTCACCTTCGAAAGTGCCGCTGAGGCTGACCGGGCAAGGGAAAAGCTGAATGGGACAATTGTGGAGGGTAGAAAGATTGAGGTGAGGAAGAATTTCCTACTCTTATTAGGTTTCCTCCTCAATGTTCAGCATGATTTGCCTTTAACGTTACTTTTTATTCTGCTCTGTGCCATCCCAGGTTAACAATGCAACAGCAAGAGTAGTTACCAAGAAGCCCCAGACGCCCCTTGTGAATGGAGAACTTTCAAGTACGACAAACCTCAATGATATCTGTGCATTATACTTAGACTGAGCCGAGATGGTTTCTGTTTGTTTCTCCTGAAAGAGAAACTTACTGTCACTTACTTACTTTAAAATCTTGAATTACCTTGACCTGGATGCCTGAGAACCTTTACAGACATTAAACTAACTGTCATCCTCATTTTGTTGTAGCTTCTGGATGGAAGATCAACCCAATGATGGGGGCAATGTACGCACCAGAACTCTATACAGGTAAGCTCTTCTCTGTAAGAATGACCTCTAATTGTCAAGAGATCACATTTGTCGTACTTTTCATATATTGTCCTGTTTTTATTCTCTTCAGTTGCCAGTTTCCCTTATCCTGTAGCGACTCCCACCTTGGCCTACCGGGGCTCTGCTCTGCGCGGTCGAGGCCGAGCTGTCTACAACACGATCCGCTCTGCTGCAGCAACACCTGCCGCTGTACCTGCCTACCCCGGGTAAGACCCAATTACCAAGTGCTACTGCCAGGTCTACACTCATTTTATTTACCGCTTAACAGCTCAATGTTGTTTTTAACCACTTTTTTTTTTATCAGGGTTGTATATCAGGATGGGCTCTATGGAGCAGAAGTCTATGTAAGTCTATTCTCATGTCTAACATCACTACGCCTTAAGGTTATTTAAAGTGTTGCAGCTTTTATTCATGTTTTTTCTTTTCCGGTGCAGGGAGGCTACCCTGCAGCTTACAGAGTAGCTCAATCAGCATCTGCTGCCACAGCAACTTACAGCGATGGGTAGGCATCACACACAGTCCTCACATGTATTTCTTATGGCAATGTTTTGCACATATTTACTAATCCTTGATTTCTTTTAGAATGCACTTCTAAAGCTAGACCTACATTGGTCACTCTGCAGAGGGGCTGCTTGTGAACAGGCAGGGCAGGCAACTGCTTGGGGCCCCAGATCATTAGGGGGCCCCTTGAGGGCTGACAAACTTGGCCCTACTGTAAATGTGTCCATGCCTGTCTTCAGGGCGAGTTAAGAACCCACTAGTGGATAAAAGTGGCGTTGCAAGTTCATGCTAAATGATTCTTAAAAGGGAGGCCTTCTGGGCTTGGTTAGACCAGGGTCTTCCTAAAGCAACACACAGATACCAGCTCGCAAAGGCTGGTTTTACTGGTAGCAAAGTAAAAGCGAGAGTATGGAAAAATGGTCCGTGGAGGCTGTGGAGGACTTGAGGTTGGCCTTCAGAAAGGTTGGCCAAGTGTTAAAAATCTCGGAAAGGCAAAACAGGACTTGGCAGGGAAGGAGCACTGTGCCTATGACCATTCATCCTTAATTAGATTCCTTTGGAGAGGATGGTGTACCAAGCCATTGCTACTTTCTTTCACAATTAAGAGCTGTGTCCATATCTACAGTCCAACACGTGCACAGAGGTTATTGGTCAGAGTTGGCTTCTGCCAGAGTTGGGAGGAGAGTTACCATTTTGGGAAAATCAGAATGCCGTCTCAGCTTTTTTCAGATGGTGTGGTTCTGTCACTTACAGCAGGCACTTGGGCAGTTTGATGGTCGAGGGTTAAACTGTTAATGAGATGGCAGGCGAAGCGTCATTGTAAAAAGGGAGGTAACCCAGAAATCAGAGCATTGATTTGATCTGCAACCCTAACTCTAAACCCTAAGGGGGCTTGGAGTAGAGCCACTAGTCCTTTACATCGAAAGAGTCAGCTGAGATGTTTTGGTCATTTGATTAGGATGCCTACTTTTTACCTCCCTTTTGGAGGACTTTTGGGCACGTCCAACTGGAAGGAGACCCTCGAGGCAGAACCAAAGTTTACAGGATGGATAATATATCTAATTTGGTCAGTGAAAGCCTCAAGTTTCCTAAGTAGATCTGGAGACCAGTCTAAAACATGTAGGATCGTACCAGATAAGCAGGAGAAAAGTCACATTAAAAAACATTCAAATGCAGAAAGGGGTTTCTGAGTGAAATTCACATCTGATGTTTTTGAACAGCTATGGCCGGGTCTACGCCACAGCTGCTGATCCCTATCACCACTCAGTCGGACCAACAACAACATATGGAGTTGGTACGATGGTGAGTAAAAACCCATACAGGCTCTGAGAAGGCTATCTTGTTACATGTGCAACCGTCTCTGCTCACACCTGTTTCTCTCAACAGGCCAGTTTGTACAGAGGCGGATATAACCGCTTCACCCCGTACTGAGACTACCGGCAGGGGCAGGGATGACATCCCTCATGAACTCTGGGAATGGCTTATCCATGGACACTGCAGGACAGATGATAAGATCCTTAAAGTTTGTGAATGTGGGGATGGATTCACCCCTTGTCTCCATCGCAACCTCTCCTAGAGAGACTAAACGGACTGAAGTTGTAAATACTGTAGGACTTATTGTAATGATCAATACTTATTTGGAGGAGGATGTCATATAAGACAAGAAAAACCTTTAAGGGATTATTGTTTTCTGTATTTAAAGATGTTCGCTCACACTTCAGGAGGGCCAGATGGTGGTGAATACTGTGAGAATTATTTTTTGCGAGTACAATCTACTATCACGGGTCAAATTGTACAAAAAAACATTTGTGCAACAGTTAATGACATATTTTTGATGATAGCTATTTACTAAATCTGTGTTTGAGTCTGTGTGTGTGTGTGTGTGTGTGTGTGTGTGTGTGTGTGTGTGTGTGTGTGTGTGTTGTGTGTGTGTGTGTGTGTGTGTGTGTGTGTGTGTGTGTGTGTGTGAGAGAGGCAAGTCGTGTATCAACACTGTTAAGTTATCATCTGAGAGACAGCTGTGACTATGGTTTCATTATTACAAACACAGGACTAATGTTTGTTTGGACTTAGTTGGAATTTTGTAGCCTTTCTAACAATCTACCTCTCATACATTTTTAGCTTTAAATTCAGCAGCCTTAATTAATCCCATATCTCTATCCTTCATTTTTTCAATCTGCAGAGCTTTCTTCTAGCGTCACCTTTCTGTTCTTTGTTAATCCTCACTTATATACAGTATATTGTAGCTTCTGTTTCTATGGCTATCTTTTGTACCTCACCTCCAATGATGTTTTTATTTTTTCTAAACTGCTTTAATCTCGTTTTAAATCCAAACTTTGGACTTGGCATTGAAAATCTGTCTTTATTTGGTCTAACTAACAAACTGAGGACTGATGGCCTTGCTCAAAGACAGCTTCTTCTTAATATGTATGCTGCAGATATTAAAAACTGTCTCCAAGTTGTTTATTTCTTTCTCAGCTTTATTCTTCACTCCTGTGCCTTATTTCACTCTTTGCTTGTGTTCTCTCTCAGAGCTGCTGAATGCCTCCTCAACTTTTATTGATCATTTTCTTCTCAGCCTTTTCTTAGTTTCTGTTTCACTCGTTTCTGGTGTGTTGGATGTTTACCTCTAAATAAATCCTTTTTTTCCTCTTCCCTTCTCTTCTGTCCTTTATTGATTACATTTTTTCCACTCTTTTGTTTTTCTGATCCGACACAGCTCTGCTGCAAAAATACAAACAAACCTTTGATTTGATTGATCTACCCAGACATTTCAGGAAAAGGTTTTTATGTCAGTCAGGTTTTAAAAGGTGAGTCATTCTTGTGTTCTAACTCTTCTTAATTTATTTCTTTTTCTGTGTTATTAGTATAGGTGTAGTTGTACAGTCATTAGACTTGTCATACTTTTTGTATCTTTTCTTGCCTTTGGACTTTCATCCTTTCTCTCATTTGTTCTCGCTCTCATTTACAAAACTTTGCTTAAGACTCTTTCTCCTTTGCATGTTGCATAATGTTTCTCATTTCTTTCCTGTTTACTTTAGTAGAATGTTCTACTCCTTAAATTAGCTTCTTGCTCGTCCCTTGTAGTGTTAGCTTTTCCTCTCTGTCGTCTAAGATTATTTAAACTTATTAGAGCTCTTCTATAGTTCCTTTTTCTTTCATCAGCAGTTCTATTGCTCTTAGTTGTCTTTATAATAGTTTCTTTTTCTCTTACTGAACAGCCACACTGATTTGTAAAAAAGAAAATTAGTAATAAAAAGAAGAAGCCCACTTTGACACATTCTCAAAATACTGCTTGGCTAGGTTTTAGGTTTGGTTTCACATTTGTAATGTTGATGTAATACTGGGGGGTCTGTGGATTTCCAGGAGGAACTTTCAAGCTCAAAATAATTTTGTGCATTCTGCTGAATTTTCTTACGAGTCACTCCAGCAGTTTATCAAAAGTTTAGTCCTCTGATACATTTAGTTTGGGCAGGTCAAACATGTGTACTAAATATTCATAAAGGTGACATGTTGCCTGCATTCCCCCTTCTATATACAGATACAGCTTTGTGATGTATGATGCCTTATATTCATCTTAATAATAAAGGTGTTGTCACTTAACGTTAAGGTAATGTCTGAGGTAATTAAGTACCTTGTGGCGAGGGGGAAATAAACCTCGACTTTTTGTTTTTAATAATGTATATCTGCTTTCTCCAGACATGTTTTTATTTAAAATTTGATTTACAAATCTAAAGCTTCAAAAAACTTGTTTCCAATATTCTCTTACTTCAACATAACTATGATTTTTCTTTCACTAACTACTGTAGTTCTTTTATCTTTATCTCTTTAATTACTGCTTTCAATCATTTCCCCTTTTTTCTCTCTTAGTATACTCTTCTGGCTATCTTCAAACTTTTTTCCAACTACTCCATTCAAAATCATTTTCAGTGTTTTTCCATGTTGGCCAAAAAGCCAAAACAAAAGCTGTATGCAATAAAACACAGAAGGTTGGATGACTAAGGCCCTTTCTCTTCTCAATGTCAGAGTTACTTCTCATTCCTGAATTCAATAATAAATTCTTCATATCAAACTGTTTTTCCGCTCAGTTTTTTCTCAACCTTTCGGTAAATGCACCATAACTTGAAAACACTGGATGCTTATTATACTTGTATTTTATTCGTTTTGTTCAAAATGTACATAATATTTACAAAATGGCAGTTTGTCTTGTCAGAGCTGTAGAGAAGTTAATGTTGGGGACAGGGTGGAGGGATTGCTGATAAACCTTCAGTTGTTAGTGAGTTGCAACATAAACTTAAAGCTTTACAGAAGAAATACAATACTTACTAGAGATTGTGACTATTGCACAGAAGGCAAAACAGTCACAAACATACTTAACATTAAAGGAAACAATTTGAATGAGAAAAGGACAAATATTGGAAGATGTTTGGGGGCGGAGAGCAGGAGAGGAAAGCATGCAGGGAGAGAAAATGAGAGAAAGGGAGAGAAGACAAAATCAGATGAAGATGATTAAGAAAGGAAAGAGCAGGACATGGAAGGGGTTTGAAGAAGTGAGGGACATGGGAGTTTGTTCTAGTGTCAAATAGGAAAGAGTTACAAAGACCAATGAGTACTGTAACGTGGGAGCAACAAAATAAATCAATCTGAAATATGAATCAGGCGTCAGAGGGAGGAAAACACAAAAGCATCCAAAATGAAAATGTATAAAGTTAGTCGTCTATCGGGGGAATTTTCTACTTGGAAAAAAAAAAAAAAGAATAAAGCAAACATTCTGACGGGCTGAGTCAATGCTGAAAACCTGAGAGATGTTCACACTTCAGTCAGGAGTGAAAAATCGTACATTTACACAAATATCAGAGAAGTTCATCACGTGAAGAAACCAAATAATAGCATCTTGGCATGGGAGCACACACCAGCAATAAAAAAAAAAAAAAAAGAAAAGTTACTTATTAAAGACCAAGACTATAAAGAAAAAGAAAAGTTACTTAAGGAAGGTGAATATGATAACAGCAGGTTCAGTATGTCCAGACACAAGACGCTCTTTTGCAGATCTATGTCTGTTAATCTAGCAGGAAAGTTAAATTATTCAAAATCAAATAAATTCTGTTAAAGAAATGATCATAACGACCAGCATTGCCAGCATTAATCCTCTTTTTTTTGGGGGGGGGGGGGGTCCATGGGAACTATCAAAAGATGTATTATATGCATCTGGACAAACAGAAGCCAGCACACGGTAACTCAGTCAATTGTTAAACATTCTTTTTCAAACTGAACAGGTAGAAGGTTGCAGAGGAAAATTCTTGAAATATTTGTCTTAGCAGCAGAATCACATTAGCAGCAGAAGGACATTTCCACATTTCATTGAGTGAGGCTCCCATGTATTTTAATTGGCTTCAACTTCTGTGGGTCAAACCAAGACTTGGATTGCTCACAATTCACCCTCCTCGGCTGGCGGCGTCTGGAGGTGGTTGTTCGCCCACTTATCACTCCCGTGTTCTCCCGCAATGCACTACAACGAGCTGAAGGATGAGAAGTTTGGTGGTGTGTGAGAGGAAGGTGTAGGGGACTGAGGAAGGGGGGGGAGGGGGAATCAGCAAAGAGGACAGGGGTTGAGGTAAATGAAAGTGGGAGGAAAGAAAACATGTTGAGATCATTGTTATTACAAGATGTTTGCTGAAATATGCCAACAATGAACAGTTTGGAAGAACAAATCTAAAATCAAGGATTACAAGGACGTGCTGTGAGCCTGACGGAAACATTTCATTGCCGGAAGGCCTTCACATTACTTGTGTATCGAAAAATGATGCTCCCATTCTTCACTGAATGTGTACAAGCTTTACATGGAAACATCTGCCAACTATAACATACAAGTGATCTTTCTGCCAGAAAGGACAATTTTAACAAACACTTTTTACATATGACCGGAAATGGAGAGGACTTATTGCAATTCACAATTTGGTTCAAAGGTCTTCCCTAATGTTTTCAGGCTTTACCGGGAAAAATCTAGCAATTTTCCACTCCCACCACTTCATCCTGCAGTTAAGTTTACATATTCACACCAATGGTCTAAAAAAAAAAAAAAAAAAAAAAAAAAAGAAAATCACACTTACCCATGTGTGAACAAAAAAACCTTCAATATGCACCAATTGAAAATAAATCACAGCACTATCATACAATATTTACAAAAGATCTACTGAATAGACAGGTAAACGTATTGATTGTTCAGCAAGCCTGCCTCCTTTAACTTCACCGTGAAGTCCCTCAGGCTCTATGTTTGCACAGGGGTAATTCAATACTGTTTTAATTAAAGCTACTGTACGATATAGAAAATATGTTTTCAATGTCAGGACAGCTGGAAAGGGCTAACAGTGTTGCTTATGGAAAGTCAGTGTTGAGGGTATTGTTGTTTAAGTGAACATTTTCAGTTATTTTGGAGCTGGCTCATCACCTTTTTAAGTATTGCGACACATCACTTTCGGCAAAAATATCACCTAATACACATGCACCCCAATCAAGATTAATGTAGGTCCTGAGAAGCAAAACCCTCCTGAGGATAAGACACACAGAGAAATCCAACTACAACTCCACTTCAAAAAAGTCTTTAAGGCTGAATGTTTTCTGTTCAAAAGTGAGAGGCTAAAACTTTAGCTTTACTTTAGAAAATTAATTAATTATTGATACATGGACATAAAAGCACTAGTCTTCACTCGACTTGCATCTCCCTCTTTATTATATGACTGTCCACTTCAGTGTTAAACCTGTCTAAGTGTAAATACTAAACCAGAAGCATGCATCTGTGCAGGAACATTTCTGTGATATTACTGACTCGGCTTTTGGCATTTCCGGATATTATCCAATTATTATGATACTAAATTCATCTGTCAAACATGAACCTGTTTATTTTCTTTAAAATCTGCTTTGGGACGTCATAATTGTTTATCATTTCCTAAGAGAAAGCCCAATACTGTTGTCCACTAAACACAAGACAAAACATTTAAGACGGAAGAAATGTGAGAAAACACCTCTGTTGTTCCGTCGTTCAGCTCCTCCAGAGAAGTCCCTTTCTCTTACCAGCCTTGCAAACACAGAGGCACGTGTTGCATACAAACCACTCGTTAATCCTTCTTGTAGCAGCAGCGGCAGGTTTTCCCAACAATGCTCCAATTTCACGAATTCACCTCGAGATCATCTGAATTACAGCTGGTGCAGAAAAGACAACCGTGGATGAAGGATTGGCTCAATCAATGCGTGCTGGATTCCACGTGTGCTGGCAGACATTCTACCCGAGGATGATGGGAGGCAGATTTCCTATCTTCCTCAGGAGGCTTGGATCGTTAAAATAAAGCTTGGTGTCAGGGCTTGGAGAAGTGAGGGGACAAACTTGTGCCTGTATCCTTTCTCTTAAACAGAGTCAATGCGCATCAGATGGAGACTTTCCCCAAATGCTGGCCAACCATTTCATGCCTGTGACCAGTAAGTTCTTCTGAATTAAATCTGGAAAAAGACTTTAGTCCATAGCTTTCATGGGCCATAAAATCAGGGACAAGGAACAGGATCAGAGGATGACTTTAGATGCCTTCAGGAAACGGGGTGCAGGGCAGGACATACAAACCACCAACTCTTCTTCCAGACTACTGGCATCTTCTCACCTTGCTGTTTCACAGTCTCTTTTGAGGAATCGTGTGCAGCCTTTGCTTGAAACAGGAGACAGCTGAATCAACAACTTGAAGAATTGCCTTTAGCGTTTCCCTTATGCAGGACAGGGCTTGTAACTTCAGGTCCTGAAGCTGTTGACTTGAGGAAGAAAAAAACATGACAGAACACTGTTAGCTTTGACATCTGATGCTGCGAAAGGAACAGGAACCATGACGAGCTAGTGCCTCTCTGATCTGCTTCTCTGACTTCTTGGCCTCTTAAGTGCTGAGACCGCATGATCATCTCAAATCTGATCTGTTCCCTCACTTTTCTGTCATTGTAAATGTTATTAGATTTGATGGGAATGGGGCTAAATTTCTACCTTTGTGTGACTGTATGTGCAGACTTGCGAGTTAAACAGTAATCTGAGTGTCAAAATCAAATTGTTGTTCAGAAATGTGAATCTTGCAGTAGAGTCATGTATCCCTCTATATGGGTCTTCTTTATTTTTAGGATCGCAAACTACTCTGTACTGGCTGAGAAGTCTCAAGTGCATTACACTGTATATGTAAAGATCCCACCCTTCATGGTACTATACCCCCCTCCATCCCTTAGAAGCAGCCAAGGCGGCTGTGCTGGTTTTGCAGTCTATCTTTTCGGGGTCAGCTGGGGTAAATGAGACACCTAGCCCATTAAGAAAGGTCATACAGGAATCTAAACAAGGGAAGCCCAGACTGGATTGCACATACTGCACTGGTACATAAGGCCTGAACCTGTGAACAGAAGAAAAAAAGGAGGCATAATGGTCAGAATATGTTTCAAATATAGAACATTTTGTACTTTATGGTTCAAGAACTCCTCTTACGTTTTGACTATGGCCCGGAGTGCAGCCTTTCTTTCCCTCTCTACAAACTTGTCAATGAGGTACGAAGCCATGCGTGGGGCTTCAAGGTACAGCTTAAAGAATCTGCGAAAGTTTCCTAATGCCCAGGCAGCACGGAGTGCGAGTGCATGAGCCACGCACACATCTGCCCGCAGTGTTGGAGTTATATATACCAACTCAGTGGTCAGATCTGAGAGGAGGAGGAAAAACAGCTAAGTTAATATGTGGAAATAAAACATTGATGTCATGCATCATGGTGACTCAAGAGAAAACAATGTGGGTATACCTCCAGAGTTTTTAGTGAAGATGTAATACAGCAATCTATATGCTGTAAACTCTCCGATGTTCTCAGAGGGATGGTCCTTATACAGAGCTTTCAGCTGGGTCTGGCACTGGTTAACTCTTCATGGTCTCCCTAAAGACAAAAATAAGGAGTTAAAAAAACAACAAAAAAAAAGCACTGTCATGCCTTTATGCTGGGCCCTTTTCAAAAATACAATGGCTCACCTTTTCAAGAGCAATGCGTGCATGACACTCGTACACTTCCACTGTGAAGTCAGTACGAACTCCCTGGACCTGGGTATCGATTTGAAGAAATATAAACATAAAAAAAAGAATAAGACAAACTGAACCCAGTCTGAAATAAACATTTTAAAAAGACTAAAAGGAAAGTAATGTGTATGAAGATAACTAACCGTGAGGTCCTGTCGGATGGACTTCATCTGTTCACAAGCATAGGTGTAGTCCTGGTGGGTTTTCCAGTGTGTTTTCACAGCCTGCAGGGATCTTCTGAGGACCTGAGGTATACAACAAGTTCAGATTTAGATCAGTCTGGCAGACGTAGAAGGAGAAATGTTCATGCTCAAGGGTCATATGCAATCCCTGTGCCCTCCATGTTGTTGTTTTTAAAAAAACTATTTCTTACAAAGTAGGCTAAACAACACATATTTAGTATTTCTTTTACCTTTATGGGTAACAAATTCTCGAAAGGCTACACATGATCACAGAACTACTAAACTACAGCACATTAAAAAGGCAGACAGAAGAGTTCAACTTACCGACACAGGGCGAACAGTGGAGGGGTCTGGGGCACAGGTGAGCCTCAGGTAGTGCTTTGTGATGTCCTGGCATGTTCCAACGATGGGGCAGTCCTCCCAGCTAAGGCCCTCCTGAGTCCATCAGGCAGGTCCAGTGAATGGATGGAGAGAACCAGGGGCTCAGAGCGAAGCTGCTTGTGGAAACGAGCTGCTCTACTCTGCTTCTTGGCTTCTCTGTTGGGATCATGGAAATCCAGACCAGCATTGCCGCCTTTCCTCTTCTTTCCAACAGTTGCATTGGCATCTTCCATATTTCTGTAGGAAACAGTAAGGGTTTATCACAAGCTATCACAGTTTCATAGTGTAGCAAGGACACACTCAGTCCTTAATGTGGCCTCTCCATAAGAATAGTGATCAATTAAAAAAGTGCAACCTTTGTTAAATATATTTAGTAAATTACCTTCTTCCTCTATTGGCCTTTCCTCCTCTTCCTCGCCCTCTCTCTCCACCTCCACGTCCTCTGTCTCTGTCATTACCACGGCCGCGGGCTCCTCTCTGGCTTCGTCTTGACAGCTGAGGCCGGAGGTCACTAGAGATGCTGCTGTCAGACTGTGAGCCAGAATCACTGGAACAGAGACATGAGACATTAAAAAATTAAATACCAAAGAAACCTTAACAACCAAAATAATATCAAAAGGGGAAAAATAGTCTTACCTGCGCCTGTGCCTTTGGTTGCTTCTGTCCCTGTGCCGGCCATGAGAGGGGGACGGGGAGCGGGAGGAGGAATGGGAGGAACTGGAAGATGGACTCCTTTGAGAAAATATATTTCTGTAGTGGCCAAGTCTATGTCCACCACCCCTGCCTCTTGAAGCTGCGGCTGCTGTACTTCCACCACGGCAAATTGAGCCATCTGATGCCCTCTGGGGTTGAATTGATTCCCAACGTGACTGTTTGGCCTTCAGTCTATGAAAACATAGATCCAAATATTCAAGTTCAACCAGTAGGCAACAACTTCTACAAGAAGCTTAGATAACAACTGATATATACAAATTGGAATACACTAAACTCACTCTGGTAACGGCTCACGATTCCAATCAATGGTGTAGGCAGAACCGTCCTTTAATCGGTCCTGCAGAACTTCTTTCAGAACCTTCTCTGTACGATCTTTGTCCTCCTCCGTCTCACAGGCTGTAAAGCAGCGCTGGACATACTCCTTCATGGCTTGGGGCCAGTCCTGGGACCTGGAGAGAAAGCTTTTGAGCAAGGCTGCAAGTCTAGGATTGAAAGAATAAAAATAAATCTGGGGTTGTCAAAAAGTTCTCACCTTGTCTGAGCACCTTGGGGTGCAGATGTGGCACTAGCTGGGGAGGAAGGAGACGGGTTTAACCCTGAGGGCTGCTCGCCTGGAGGGAAAGCCTGATTGGAAACTGGAGCACACTGAACCTGATAGGGCCTCTTGGAAATATTGAACTTTACAGAAGCGGTCCCAGGTGACTCTGTGAGAACAAAAGAATATTACAGGAAAACAATTAACAAATTAAACAATTAAAAAAACTCAAATTGACAACCTGTCTAAACCCTACAGAATCCAAAGTTCTTTATATGGTATCAATCCTGACATGAAGTAAATGGTCTTATAGAGTTCCTAGTTCTAACAAGAATAGTATTATTGTACACATCAGAACATATTGAAGCTGTAATATGGATGACATAAGTGTATGCCTCATCAAAGAAAACTTCAACAAATGCTGTAGAAAATGTTATACATAAACTACCTCATTAGTGTAAATCTTACGTTTCATACGGTGCCAGAGTTGCTGTCCTTGTTTTTGGTTTTTGTTGTCTCCTCTGCAAAGCCCTGGCAGGTACTGGCCCGGCTGCTGCTGGTGTTGTGGGTTATTCTGAGAGGGCTGGTAGGTGTTTTGGCCCTGGAAGCCCTGTCCATAGTTAGGCCTTGTCTGGGAATGGTTGTACATTTGCATTTGGTTGGGGTCATTCGGTGGGTATGGCATGGAGTTGTTGGCACTATAGGAACTTGGAGAAGGGGGAGGGGGGAACTGGGAGTTGGATTGGGGAGGAATGGGCGGGGGTGGAGGAGGAGGTGGTTTGTCTGATGTGGTAGGGCTCTGGGGAGGTTGGGGTGTAGTAGGGGGAGGAGGCTGTGGTTGAGGGGGATAGTTGGAGGACTGGTCTTCCATTCCTGGCACTGGGGGAGGCTGAAATAAGAAAAGATTTTAAAAAATCTTGCATCAAACTTTTTCAATTTCCTCTGTAAAATGGCGTACAAAAATGTAGCCTAATTAAGGTTAGGAATTTGTACAAATTAAAAACATTTTACTTTTTAAGCAAATTCTTGCATGTACCTGTCCATTAGAGTTTGGAGGTCCTGGGTAAGGCCCTTGTGGTACACCATACTGATTGGGTGGGTATGTAGCTCCATACTGGATATAGAGAAAAACATGTCACTTTGACTCTGCCTGACCTTATTCTATAAATATTTCAGGTCATTCTCAGACAAACAAGACTTGTGGCTTGTGTTGTTTAAAGCATTGAATGTCCTGTATCAGAATAATGTGTTATCATGGTAACACAATTATTCTATGTACTTACTGGACTCATTGAGTAGTAGTAGTTGTACGGGTATGTGTATCCAGGGTAATGCTGCTGAGTCTGCTGGTACCATGGATAGTATTGCTGCTGCTGCTGCTGCTGCTGCTGCGGTGGCTGCTGTTGCTGCGGCTGCTGCTGCTGTTGCTGCGGCATGGCAGTGGAATCGGATCCTGTTGGCTGAAATTGACCAGCCTAAAATTAAACCAATACATAAATATCTTTGTATTATTATTCAGAACAGAAAGGAAATCATCTCAGAGGGACAATGCTACAAGAATATTATAAAACGTTTTTATAAACGCATCACAAACCAACACTTGATATGTATGTATGTATGTGTATATATATATATATATATATATATATATATATACACATACATATATATTTTATAAAACAGTAGATTGTAAAATGTGTAAGACCTGTTTACCATCAAATAAAAATCCTTGAGTATGTGTTCATGCTGTGACTATTAATTGGGTGATATCTTTCAATTATTTCAAAGGTGTTTTTGTTGTATTTTTTTTTTTTTAAACACCAACTTTGTATAGTATAATTCACATTTTGGATTTCTTAAAATGTTTCTCCTCCCCACTTTTACTTTTAGATCTCACAATTTCATACCCGGGATCACCTTAGATGGATTTTAATACCAAACACGTAATAATCTAAAGTCACACCTCTGCTGTGGTCCGGTTTGCTTGTGCAGATTTAGCTGAGTTCTGACTCTTGTTAATGGAGGCTAGTGCTTGTCTTGCCTTCTCCCATTCAGGATTTTCGTGAACCTGGGCATCTGCAGCTGCACCGTAAGACCTGGGGAGAAAAAAAAAACACAAGAACTTGAGTCAAGGGTGTCTTTAACATCAGAAGGCAGGAACAACACTGGTAAGGCCCTGGTGATATACAGCTCCATACTGGATGTAAAGACATGTATTATCATTGGAGAACTGATAAAAAGACCTTATTCGGGAATATTTAAGGTAATTCTCAGACAATATGACCAAAACTAGCCTACTGATAAACACTCTAACATTACATAAAACTATATGAAATGTATATTCAACAGCAGGCATGAGAAGAATAAAGTTTCCTCTAATGTTTCAGACAGGCTTGCATCCAGGATTGTTTAATTTTAAGTTCACTACCTTCTTACAATTGAGTTACGCAGTTTCTAATCGCTGACAAAAGACAATCCAATTAACCATTGGCCTTAGTGTGGATGTCCCGACATTTCAGTCAGAATAAACACGGACATAGTTACAGTGTTGGAGGGTGTTACATTACACTTAAATAAAATGAACCTATTAATCAAGAAATGATTACAATACAGTCAAATGAATATAGGTTATCACGGATCACGTTAACCAAACCAATGGCCTGTGTCTGGCTAATTGTGTGTGCTAATACCTGTAAACACCCTGTGCTTATGTTATTATCAACAATTTAAGATGTTCGGAAGACATTTCTACTAAAACACCTCATGTACCAGTGACAGTCTTAATATAGGCAGCGTTATTAAACGTCTGCTGTGGTTGATGTTTAGCCCAGAGACTGAGACCTACCAGCTGGATGAAGGTGTTGCTTGTGCCGTGTTCGCCGCCATTTCGCCACAGTTCAGTTAGCCACTGAGAGCTAACGCTGGGGCTGTTGCTCGCCAGCCGAGCTAGCTGGCTAGCTGAGAGACACTGCTAACGTCGTTCACGTTAGCTCTCCTGCTAAAGCAAAAGGTAAACAAGATAAGGTCTGACACGTTAAACTAACAAAAGAGCACTAAACCAACCGCAATTGTGACTTCCTACGCGAATAAGTTCAACTCTAACATATTTTAAATCAGGATGCACTTTAAAAAATGTTGTCAATTTCGGTACATTCGCTTCCCTGGTCGTTGACAACCAACTTCGTCGGACCGGATGGTGGAGATACAAAATGGCAGATAAGTAAAATTAGTGTTCAGTGACGCCGCGGTGACGTCGGTTTGAAGCCCTGAGCGCAGTCTCACAGGCAGAAGGGGGTTCAGTGGTAACCGTGGTAACACCTACTTTAACTTCTGCGTACACACATGTTTTTGACCGTTCTGAATAAGTTAAAGAGAAAATAAGGCAAGTTTATTTATATGGCTCATTTCAACAACAAGGCAATTCAAAGTGCTTCACACAAGACATCAAAAGCATCATGACAGAGGAAAGAAAATAAACATTAAAATAGAACATAAAAAAAAATCTGAACCTATGTTCAAGTAAAAATAATTCAAATGAAATGAATTGAAATAAATAAAGTAAAAATATAAAAAGAGTTAAAAGTTACAGTGCAGGGTTAAAAAAAAAAACAAGCCTGACGAAGCTATAGTCAATAAGGACTATCTAAATATATCGCGAATTCGCCAATATCGATAACAACGTTGATGCAACTCTTAAAAAATACGACACTATTTCAACAAATTAATTCAAAACGTTTTAAATATGCATATGTAGGAGTTTGATGTTGTTACCAAATAAAAAAAAAAAAAAAAAAAATTCTTTAAACAAAAAATAGGCTACCGTAATGTAGAAACACCTAGACCCACTCTTTGTTCATACAAGTTTCCCACTGCATTTCTGTTTAGCACACACAGCTGCAGGATGTGTGTTTGTTTGACCTTGTGTGTACCAGAGAGGGGAGCCATTTCCTGTGAGTCTCTCCCACACTTGAACCCCAAAATCATCCAGACATTTTGGAAGTCTGTTTGGAAGTACAAATTATGTTTAGCCTTAACTGTTGTAGGCTAATTATAATTCGAGGCTAAATTGACACCGAACAACCTGGTTTAAAAAATTGTATATATTATTTTGATAATGTTCTTTCCTGTACTAAAAACACTCACACAACCTTTTTTTCTCATTAAAATTAGACTATAGGTAGTGCCTTTTTAACGTACAAACTATAAAGTAAATACCATAATGGTAAAAAAAAAAAAACCTCAGTGTTCTCCATTCAAATCTACATGCAAGTATGACTATCTTTCTTTCAAAGGCAATATCCTTTCTCAATTCAGATTGCACAACTTTCAAATGAATGAGTTACTGTATTGAGTGTCATTTCCAGACCATTTCCCACAGTGAATGACATAATGTTCCTGCTGAATGAATAATTTGTACCAATTGTCTTGTCGGCTACATCATCACGCAAATATGTTGAGCATTTGTGACAAGATCTCATAAACAATGACTCCCGAGCCAGCACCATTGTATGAGTACCTGCTGTTTGGTGGTGCTTGTTTCTTTAACCCTATGGGAGGAAGCTGGATATTATAGACTCCTCTAACACATATCCACTCTGCTCCTGTTGCTGATCCAAATTCTAGTTATATTTGTATTGTACCAGCAACATGTAGGCTAATGGATTTCTTATTAGCCTTTTGGTTGTTTGTGTGATTAAACGCAGGGTATTTTTTAAATTTGGCAACCAGCATCAGACTGACACACTTTGAACTGTCGTCAGCTCAGTGGTGCAATACACAAGGGTTTGCTTCACTGAATGCATTCCACTGTAATTGCAGTAGACTTTAAGTGAAGCCCTTCATAACAATTTGAGTGTGAAATTACATTGGCCTTGTATATTGGTGCAGCATTAAGCTCCCCTGTATAGCATGAGTTTTAATATAAATCAGTGTAGCCCAGGCAGAGGGAGGGCACAGGGGTTCAATGTCTAATTTAGGGATTTTAGCATTATTGGTATTTATGTTCAACAGTCACAAATTTGCTCATATTTAAGGCTCCATGGTATTTTAAATGCATATTCTAAATGCATTTTGATAATCATAGAATGAAATGAACCACACAAAAATATTGTCTCATTTGCAAAGGTGTGATACCCTGACCTTCATTACAAATAAAGAAAATAAACGATTGATAATCAACTGGTTCTTTGGTTCACACTGACAAAGGCAATTTAAGTTAATTTGAATATTCAGTTCTGCACCCAAAAAATACTGACAAGTTTGCAAATTGTGTATTATTTATCAGCTAAATATAGGCTAGAAGTAGCCTTTTTTTTTTTTTACTCTAGTTTGAAGTGCCTGGCTGTTTAATAACTTTATCTATTTATTTCCAGGAGAAGCTAATAGGCTTTAGGCTAAGTTGGAAAGTAGCCTATTGATTTTTCCCTCGTGATTTGTTGTCATTCGTTGCCAATTATAACAAACGTAAATCCAGCCTCATATTACCAAAATAATATTCTACGATTAATTAAAGAGCTAGTCTAACTTTAGTGATGTAATCCAAATAGGGTAATTCAGTTCAGTTCCATTTTATTTGTAGGACAGCAGACACATTTCTGCTTTACAACACAGTAAAATGAAAAGTTATGATTTCGTTTAGGCTATTTACATAAAATAAAAAAAAAAAAAAAAAAAACATTGTAGGAGTGGTATAGGCTAATTTCAGTTGATATTCGTGTACAACAGCCTTATGTCTATTACATAACATTAAAGTTGACTTTAAAACATAGCATTTGATAACCGAATAAATATAATATAATAATAATATAACCGAATTTCCCTCTGGGATTAATAAAGCATTTCTGATTCTGATAGTCCTCCTTGTTAACAGAATATGTATAAACTTTACTTAGGCTACATAGACTCCCTGCTATCTAGCCTTCATTATCTTATTGTTATTAATCAATAACGGCTCACAGATGTAACAAATCCCTCAACATGAAGCCCCCTGTGTGACTCTGAGGTGACTGTTGACCTCGTTGTATTGAACCCTTGTCCGGTGAAGTCGACAGCTTCTTTGATCCAGCTCTCTCCCCAATATGTGTCGCGTCACTTCCTCGCCCCATGCCCATCCCTTTGGAAAGAAAAAGAAAACTCACACTAAAAACGACGGCGAGAAAAAGAGCGAGGGAAAAGTCGAGAGAGAAGCGAAAGCCAAAAGCCAGATGAAAGCGTTGGATACTGGAGAGGGAGCCGACCGAAGATAAGAATATTCTCTTCTATAAAAGTAAGTTTCCCTCTGTTTTCATGTTTCGGTGACTCTCACTCTCTTTGATTAGTTTGACTCCGATCTGAACTTTACCTTCGCTACTCTGTAAATAAGTGTGACCATCGCGTGCTCTTCGTAAGGGTAATAACTTACTTATCAAACAGTAAAATGAAACTGTTTTCATTAAATCTGAAAGTTATCAGGGTAAGGGTAGGCCTTGAAACCCCCTCCCAAATATATCTCACACTTACACACACACACAAAAGTCTTTTCTAAAATGTAGGCCCACTTCGGCTTCAGGTGATCTTGATAAAAAATATTATTAATGTTACTTAGTTTGTTAGAACTTATCAAATAGATCGACACTGTGACAATGATTAACATTCAAATGTTGCCTTTTTGGCCTATTTTTGTCAAGCTGAGATCTGAATAGGATTCTCTCCAAAGCAGTTCGGCTCAGTGTCTTAGGTGTCATAGGATATAGTTATTTTCTTCTTTTTTTTTTTTTTTTTTAGAGAAAGTAACATCTTGTTTTGGTCCACAGTCACCCCTGAGGGGAGAGGAAAGTATGTGCTAGCGTTGCATGAGTGTGTTTCAAGTACAAGTCTCAGCATGGCCGTCAAAGCCCCACAGTGCCAAAATGCTCATTGCTTTCCTCCAACATTGCACAACATGGTGAAGTGTTCCAGCTACCCAGTCTTATCAGGAAGCTGTTATTTGTTACACCATGTTATCTTATTTGCTCAGAGTGTCACATCTGTCATTTAACACATCCCTCCTAAATAAGAATTTACCCCCTTCCTAATTTGCACTCTTTTTTTTGGTCTACAGTCATGCCGCTGCACAAATCAACCCGGGCCCCCCGCCTGGATCCTACAATGATCTCCGCCCCATTAGGTGACTTTCGCCATACCATGCACATTGGGAGGGGAGGCGACGCCTTTGGGGACACCTCCTTCCTTTCCACACTTGGCCCTAGCCAGGCCAGCCATGACCAGGGAAGTACAGGATCTGAGGCTCAGCCTGAGGTGACAGACGACCACAGTGATCTTCATATGGATGCTTCTGAAAGCCAACAGGACAACGAGCTTCAGCACTCTGAATCGGTGTCTTCATTCGACCTGGACTTGGATCTGGGCCCGTCCATGTTGGGAGATGTACTGGGTGTGATGGACGGTTTGGGGCTCGATTCCAATGAGGAGGATGTGTTCAACCTCAAAAACGGCCCGTCCTCAGTGGGCTCAAAGCAAGGAAAAGGGCCCAGTGAGATGTCTGTAAACATGCTGAACGGGAAGGACTTGGTGGGTTTGGATGGAAACCAGGTGGGGGACAGCAGGATACCAGATGGGAATGGTATCAAGCCAAAGGGGTTACGACCAAAAGTGCGATTCAGTGACAAGCGAGAGGAGATCATTCGCCACGCATCTGAAGAGGAGGAGGGTCAAGGGTTCGACTTCCAGGACGAGGATCAGCTGGAGTGTCTTAGTCCGACAAGGGGCGAAGGTGAGAGTGTAGGAGGTGGAGGTGAAACGGAGATCGCCAATCATAGATCAGATCTGCCACCTAGTCCCGCCTCATCACACAGCTCAGAGTATGAAGGAGTGACCTCGTTGGACAGGAGGAGGGTCGACAGCGGCCACTCAGAGACTGATTCAGAGGAGGAGGAGGAAGAGGAAGGACGAGGCTACACATTTGAAGATGAGTTTGATGATGAAATCGGTTTATAGGGAGCAGGTGCAGTTACCCCTTGAAAACAAATCTTTGCTGCCAACTAAATCAAGTATACTGTATTTTCCTTAAACTCATCATGTCAGTATCATTTGAATGGGAGGCTTGGGAGGAATGCAAACTGGATTTCTAAGGACTTAATGGAAGATTACAGTTTGACGATGTTGCTCAACTGGAAAAGACATTTAATGTTTCATCTGCCTGGGTAACAGATTTGCAAAAGATATACCAAGTTGTAA